CCCGAGAGACAAAAACTCCGCGCCAAAGCTTACGAAAAGCGAATACGCTACCTACATGAGACGGATCATGATACGTATTTTGCTGATGCCAGTCACCAGGTCACGCATGGCAAAATAGCTTTCGTCAACACACGCACTAAAACATGTTACTCCGAAACCTTCACAGAATCCCCCAAGAATCGACGATTTGGAAGAATATGCCATCGCCAAAGCAATGGAACACGCAGCCCAACAACCTAACACTAATCCCACGCTAATCTTAACGGACTCACAGCGCGCCCTACGAAACTACACCGACAACACCTTACACTTTATGACGGATAAGCTAGTCCGTGAAATACATGTCCGCTACCCGGACAAAAAATTCCGCCTCGTATGGACGCCGTACCAAGGCGCGGAGGGAAATGAGACAGCCCACCGGTCTCACCCGCGAAAACTCCCCAAGTCCCGTCACGTCATGGCCGGCTATCTACTCGGTAGGCGCAACAAGGAACGCTCACCGAGCCCTGCGGAAGCCAAGGTTAAAAGAACAACGTGAAGAGCGGACCATTTACCCTCACCCTCCAAAGACCATGTCTAGGCAACAATCCTCCCTCGTCAGGCAAGCCCAGACCAACTCTCTTCCATCGCACCACATCTACAAACGACCCGACTCCCCCACCTGCCCAAAATGCGGAATACCCTTCCATCCCTCACACCTACTGGTCTTATAACCCACCCGCCCTTCCCCCAACCCTCTCACACATCAATTCTTGGGAGGAATGGCTGGCTCCACCCACGGGCACCGACATATCCACCGCACTAGAGGCACTAACTAATCACTCCAGTCCCCTTGCGGAATCCATCCGCGAGACGTGGGCCCTTACACACCAGACGTAGGCCCTTACACAGAGACCAGGACGTAGGCCCTTACACAAAATAAAGTTTTGCTTGCTTGCTTGCGCCAAAGTGGCCGATTGAAGCCAAAATAGACGTCACGTGCAGTTGCTCGAGTGGCCGCTGCGGGAGAAATGGCGGCGTTATGTTCACCATTAGCTCGGTGCTCGAGGACAGATCGGGAACACTTTTTCCCGGCAGTCTCTATGGCAGTTTCCCAACTGAGAGGTTTAGTAACGTTGGTTTCAACTGAATGCCGCCATTTTGTTCCAGCGGAATGTGCTTTGTCATATGTATTGTTTATCGTTACTTGTAAAAAAAGTATCAAGGGTCTTGAGCCTATATTGCTACGCCCTGATCTAAAGTAAAGCGAAGTTAAAATTCATATCTTAGCGCTAAACCAATGAAGGGCATCCGGCACGCCCCAGCAAAAAAAGAAAAGTTTTTTTTTGTTTTTATTATTTTGAGATCTTTTGTCGTGCAACCGAAATCACGATTGCAGGGCGCCTTCTCAGTTATATATAGGCCTCTGTCAAATTGCGGGCACCTCGGACGGGGTTATAGCCCGCCAAATGGGGACCCGTAGGCCAGCGCTGTGCCTCAGACCCACAAAACCTTCTTTATATACTACTTTCGGTTAAAAGCCACCGAGACGGCTATGAAATGAAATATAGTTGAACCATTCCGACAAGACACAGTGCGATTGCGAAAATAACTTTGAATTTGCAAACACGGTGGAATTGCAACGCCGGAGTCTCTTTCACGGCGTCAATTTCATTTGGGCATACAGGTGCCAATAATAAACCCCGGAGAAAGGGAACAAAGGACAAGTACAAATCTCCAAACACAACTAGGCGACTGGTGCGCGACCGAAAAACTCCGCCTGGTCCTGGTATCGAACCAGGGACCTCTCAGTTTCCAGTGGAGCGCACCAGTCACCTAGCTGTGTTTGGAGATCTGTGCTTGTCCTTTGTCCCCTTTGTTCCCCTTCTCCGAGGATTATTGTCATTATTGTCCAGCTCGCTTGCACTTCTGCATTTAATTGCATTATAATCCATACAGCTGCACAGTGAAACGCGCGCAAAAGCAGTTGTGGTCCACTCGGAGCCTTTATGGAAAAATTCGACTATTCACGTATTCTTTCATAGGGCCTCCTGGAACCCTGAATACCACGTGACTCGCACCCCGCTGCTCTGTCGGCCATGTTATCGGCGAAACACGCGGATCAAAGAATTGCGCTACTCTGCTCCGTAGGAGCTATATGGTGCTCTACGTTGCACTACCCCTTAAATATGTCTTACGACGAAGATAGAGTGGAGCCAGAGTTGAGCGTCTGTTCTCCACGTGCCGCCGCGCCGCTATTCGCCGAGATACGATCTCGTGAGAAGCAGGATCGAATGCCGTGCAGGCAGTGCTTGAAGTCTCCCGTTCAAGCACTGCCTGCACGGCATTCGATCCTGCTTCTCACGAGATCGTATCTCGGCGAATAGCGGCGCGGCGGCACGTGGAGAACAGGCGCTCAACTCCCGTAAGTTAAGGGGGGTCCCTACAAGAAGGGAGGAGGGCGGGGGGGGGGGGGGGGGGGGGGGGTTATGACGAAATGTATTAGATGCACATAAAATAAAACCGACTGCTGACTATGTCCCCGCCGTACCTGCAACCCTCAAATTGCTAATCCCCAAATGTCACATCCCTGAACACAAGCTATTTTATTGCAAGATATATTTCACTAATGCTAGGGCTGTGAAGGAGGGTCCCAGACCATCCGTTAAAATCAAGGGGGAGGGTCCGAGACCCCCTGAGACCCCCCAGACTTTAAGCCCTGCGTGCAGGCAAGTAGACGTTGCACACGCCCCGAAGGCTAGCCCACATGGTGCGCTTTTCTCCGCGTCTGCGTCGCGCCTGCGCCTGCGCTTTGACGTCACTTCCGGCGCCGGGACGAAACGCAGCGTTTTTTGGCGCATTCCGGCTTATCTGGAGGAGCCAGATATTTTGCGTCCACGCGTCGCGTCTCGCGCTGCGTCCAGAAGGCAAACACCAATGAACGGCCGTGTTCACTAGTTGCAAGGAGCGTTTGAATTTTCTCCTCTGTTTTCGCCACTGTAGGACTGTAGTTTTCGCCACGGACCTCGCGACAAAGGCGATAATAATAATAATAATACTTTTTATTTGCACATATTGCGATACCCACTCGGCAGCGTGCGAGGCTAGGCAGAAAGGTTGAGAGCTTTACGCAGGTGGGCCTGCTAGCACTCCGCCAAGAAGGGAAAGGGATACGAGAGAGGAAAATAAATGAAAACACTCAAAACAGAAAGATACACATACAAAACGGGTAACAGCCCTGTGCCATTCCAAGGCAGAGCGCACGTGCGCACGCACACCCGCACGCGCGGAGTTTACAAAATTTGCACGCTCGCGGCCTTTAATAAAAACGGTTTTTAGGCCCCGCCAACACTAGCAGCAGGGCGAACATGGTAGTTACGTCCTTCCCCCCGCGGATATCAGTTTATCATACCTTTTACACAAGTCCAGGGAATCCTCTCTGCTCCGCGGGAGAGGCTGACGCTGCTTCAGCGGAGCAGAGAGGACCTAGCAAAGTAGAAAAGCGTCCTGCGCTCTGGCAGGCAAAATGTAAAGAATACAAGGACACCGAGAGACAAAGGTACAAAATTAATACTACCGGCAACAACCGCAACAACGTAACCTCTGTAGCGGCCAGCGGTAAATGTTTTGGCGCGGGCGATGGTGATGCCAATGGCGTATCGAAACGTGGATGTAATAGTAAGCACTCATTTTTATTACAACAATCGAAATGAAGCTTAATTTCACTAATTTTCATTCTTTTTAGTGCGTACGCCCCGTACGCACTGAAAAGAATGAAAATTAGTGAAATTGAGCTTCATTTCGATTGTTGTAATAAAAATGAGTGCTTACTATTACTAAAATTAATATTACGGCATGTAGCCTTCATTTACCGCGCGATTTCTATTTAATATTTGCTTTTGTTTCTTAAGCGCGACTGGCTACGTTGGGCAGACGCTTCGGAAACGCAGACGCGAAGCGCTTCACGGTAGCGCTGCGTGTGGTTTGACTGGGCGCACGCGTCCTGCTTAGCGCGCGCGCCCAGCCGAGACGCGCGTCTAGACGCACTGAAAGACGCGCCATGTGGGCTAGCCTTTACGTTCACTGATTTTGAGCGCGCTGCGCGCCTCGAACGCGCGGCGCCGCTATTCGCCGAAAAGAGTTTTAGTAGATCGTGCTTCCCCCTCCGCTACGAAGAAACCGCCACTGCGCCTGCGTGCCAATGGCCTTGGCTGTAGAATTCCGGGTAGCGGAGGGGGAAACGTCTACTAAAACTCGCCAACATGCCGTGCAGGAAAGACGACGCTACGGGGATGAACGCGCAACACACTGGCGCCATCTATTGGGTAGCAGCGAAACTTGGCCGGTCCGGCATATTTTCCATTTCCTCGCGCATTATGCTTCCTTTTTTGGCTCGAAAAACTTTCGTCAACGTTATAAATGAGCCTTTCTCATGGGTAATACGCACATATGACCTCGGAAATCCCGCAAAAACCTTCGCTCTTGTGCATGGCCTCCGAGATCCCGAAGCGCGCGCGCGCTTCGGGATCTCGGAGGCCATTATCTTGTGAAATGCAGTTCCAGGGTCACCACATAGATGGCGCCAGCGTGCCAGTGTCCCCCTCGACGTTTTTGCTTTCTCGTCCTAAGAAATTTTAAGAGGTTTCAACAGGTCTCGTTTCTCTCGGTCGTACTCGGCTGCAAGTGTGTCAACGGGCCTTTACCCCCGCCGGGAATAACACTGAAGAGGTTCGGCTGGCAGTCGGCCTGTCGACTTCCGTTGCCGGCACCTAACCGGATATGGTTAGGTGTGTTAAAAAAAAATTCTTGGCAAATTGCTAGGCAAATTGAAACGTTCTAGCATCACAAACGTTTAGCGATACCCGGAGTTTCGAAACTAACAAGGAGCATCAAGGTGAAGGCGCCCAAGGATCTTCACCCCACGATAACCAGGAACTCCGTGAGCGAACCTTCGTTCAACAAAGCACGACCCGCGTTATCGCGACACGTTGGCCCGCCGGCTCAGAAGTCTGTAGCCAACAAAAGGTTAACAAGATGCTTTATTATCCTCGGGTAAAATCTTTCACATACCGTAAACAGAGCTGGAAGAGCGAAACATCGATAAAACAGCACACACGAAACAATGAACCGAGACCGTCGTCTACCACGGAGGCGCGTGTCGCCCTGCACCGAGGGAATCGCACATCCAAAAGGCAAATTACTACTCTAACGCCAGAACACTTCGTGTCTTCTACTGGTACGTGTTGAAAGCAAAGAGTTTATACGGCCTCCCATTTGCTCGAACCTGCACCCGCTATAGCGCCAGCGGCACGTGCATCGTTGGGTTTGGACATTAGTGTTAACTAATGGTCGGAAAAACCGATTTTGGAGGAAAAAAAACACGCAACTTTTGTGTACGGGTGGCAGGCAGTGCTGTGCGTTCCGAGCTAGCCCTTGGACAGAGCGTGCTGAGAAGATGTGACTAATGCACTCTCCCGCAGTATTACTGGGCTACAAGCAGCGAGGCAACCTCAAAACCAGAAACGGGCTCGAACTAGAGAAGGACATCGTAAACGGAAGGCTGCTCCAAACTGTTTTAGCAATTTGACACTGGTCTGGGGAAGAAATAGATACAATGAAGGAAATCCACAAGCCGATAAGCTTGTGCAGCACTAACGTGGCAGCAGTAGCTAAGAGCACTACACAGCAATGGTCATCAAGAGAGCCTGTCTCTCCTCCTTCCCCTCAGATTCTGCTCGAGAGGTTGTCAAGCCACTGAGAGTGTAAGGCAAAGAGCCAGGTTAAGCAGTCAACTAATAAAGAGCCAATCATATCCAGTTATGTTCGAAGTTTATGAGGTAAAAACATGCATAGTGAATAAAAATGCAGCGGACAAATCGTGGACGAGCTCAGCTAATCCAGACTGTGGTTTCAGCGCAGACTCTCTGGCAAAGCACTGCATGACTATTGTGGGAAATGGTATAGAGGCAAGGACTAAAGAAAGGGGCGATGTAACAATCCTGGCATTTGCTCATGACGTGACACCAGCAGAAATATGTAACAAGGACTAAAAAGGTATTCAGCACTGCTTATATAAAGCTAGGCTGAGACTTGACAGAATGTTGGTAATACATGTATGTACAATACCCGCAACAAAACATACCGAGAGAATGGTAGCAGTATTCAAACCTCATAAAAAGAATGCCCACCTACACTGGTTTTGCTAGTGCCACCTGATCTGCAGTGGCAGAGTACGCAAAGGCATAAACAAAATAAATAATCATCAGTGTGGACTGCTGAAATAAAAATATATGTTGAACTGAAACCTAGCTTTAGTCAAAAGTCTAAAATAATTTTCTTTCATAACAATGCAAGAAAAGGCATGAGAACCAAAATGACTTAGCCCAACTGTTTTCTTATAGTAAAGGGTAATTTTTCTATGTGCACACACACTCACACTGAACTTTTTATCATCATAATGCTTGTATCCTAGTACATATCACATCAAGAGGAATTGCTTTTCTAGTATGGAAATAATAAAAAAAAAACTATACTTTGCAATATTATAAAAACATTTCGCTAAAAGCAAAAAAAAGCAAGCAAGCAAAAGATTTGTTTGTGCAGAAACAAATTAACAGTAGAGGATGCATATATGGATTTCAACTCCACAAAAGGTTCAGAAGAATGCTTAGTCATTCACAGTTGTCAAATGCAGCTGGCAGACCCCATCACATGGCAAATGGCACACACCAGCATGTAAAAAAAAAAAAAAATCTAAAGAAAAAACAATGGTAAGCACAGTTAGGGAACATCATTCAGAAGAAAGAGAGGATGGGGAAAAAGGAAAGATAAAACCGCTGTATACAGCAATCGCATCTCGCCACTCTTTTCAACTTTCATTTCCTCCTAGGTCCCAACTATCGCCCTTGACTATACCTAAGCAGTACGAACCGTTTTGTAAATGCATGTGGTTTGGGAAATATGTACAAAAATACGGTCAGCACTTCTCTAACATTCGTATATTTGTAACAGTCAATATTGAGCTATGAGCAGGAAATGTCCAGACTTCTCCCATACCCTCTCCACTCCACACCACACCACTTGTCTCACCAAGCCCTTTTGCCCTACGACTTGCCACAAAGCAACACCCGCCTGTTTGTGAATCGGGAGAGAAATGGCTTCTTGAACCGGGAAACACACCACAGTGTAAACACCTAGTTGGTTAGCTTGACATTTAAAGACTTAAGAGTTAAACTTGTTCTAACTAACCCTGCAAAGTCAGCTAGTGTATCACAAACACCAAAAGCAGAAATCGGTTTTTGCCTGGAGACACAGAGCCTACTTTAGTTTAGGATACAAGGCTGTTTAGGACTGCAGCGTTTGTTCCGGCGGCAAAGCTCAGGAAAACTCTCCTCCTATGATCCATGTTTTCCCTTGTCAACACTCAAGGACAGCACAATTCACAGGCACGGGTAGTTACAAAACAGTCCTGGCCTGTGGCTATAGATTTATTGCAGCTTGCAAAGCAGTAGGCTCATCCTTAGAGAGCCACTTTTGCCCATACCTTTAACACCAGTGCACTTTCCATGCCTTGCAGGTGAACCAACCGCAAGGGTAGAGAGCGCTTAGGAGGATTGTCGTATATAGAATAATAGAAATAATAAAGCATGTAGCATCTCTTGGGCTATACACAGCTAGAAAAAAGTGGAGTGCAATGAAGCAGAGGCATCAGTCCCCACTTAAAAACACTTGGGGGTTAAAGAAGGAAAGGGGAGAAAGCTATGCATTGGCTGTTTAGTTAAAAATAAATTAAAAAATAAATACCTCTTCTTTAAAGGAAATATCCAAGCCTTAAACATCTAGCTGCATGCATACACACACACTCATTTTTTCAGAAGTGTTGCCACATATTAGGCAATATTTTGAGACATAACAGAAGAAGCCAGTGGTCAGGGTCATGTACGAGTGCAGACGTGCTTACTCTACAATTTTGTGGTGCTTTTGCAAGCAATTTTCAAATTCGTGAAGTATGATACATGCCTCTGAGCTGCCACATGCATGCACACATCTACATCAGTTCGTACGATGTTTAACAAAAAGAAAATGGCAGATATTGTAATGGAAGATGCTGCAACCAACAGGCAATAAAAAGAGAAAGAAAGAAAGCATTAGTTTAATTTAACAAAAGTTGCAGCTGAAAGTAGAAAACCTGATGGTAGCAGCATCTCAGAACATTTGCTTGAAAGTATCTTCATTTCTCATGTGATTGGGTTGGGCTTGCAGATACACCGAAGTCCTAAAGTGTCTACTCTAGGAGCAAAGGAGAGGGAAAGAAAAGATGGCCCCATGAAGTAGCCTGTCCTAATAATGCTCGGGTCAGTGAGCAGTTTCGGTACCCACATAAGCTGGAACACAATAAGCACCCATTTTATATCTGCAAAGATAAACTGACAGCAGTGGCAAGAAAAACAAACTTTCCATTGCAAAAATTCCACTCATGTTCAAGATGGAGAAAGATGCTATCTTCCAAGACTATGCCGGTCATTCTTTTTCTCCTTGGCAAACCGAAAGGTCCCTATAGAAGCATGCTCCCAAGCAAAATTTCAGCCCTTAGGTGCAGCAGTGACTTGCAAACACTCCACCGTCCAACTCGTCTCAAACAAGCCGATCGCTCAGTCTCAAGAGGTAGGGCACTCCCCCTCCCCCCCCCCCCCCCCCTCAGGTTTCTATTCCTCTCCCAACATTCTAACCAGCAGCTAAAACAAAATCCTTGAGGCTCTCCACATCATCTTCATTCCAAACTGACAGCCTGCAACACTCACAAAATAAATTAAGACAGAGAGAGCAGAGGGAGCATGAGATTCCACAGCAGAATGGTCGTCCAACAGGGCTAGGTGTGCTCAAGAGTAGATGGTGATCACTTCACGCCCGCCACCTCGCACCATCAAAACACGCTCGAGCCCTTCGGTCAGCACTTCCAGGAATTCCATGTCTAGAGACGGGAGTAAAGGTTTGCTCTGCTCACTGCCTCAATAAAGCTGCCCACCATTTCATTTTAGTAAATGCATCTCTAACATCTCATTTAAAAAAACATGCCTTGAGATTTTAGAGTATCATTTCCAAGTCTGGATTGAAGAAACATTTATAGAGCTAGTGTTTATATATTATAGCCTGTGACAATAAATGTTCCTAAGGCCAATGAAGACCAAACTGAGACTTCATGGTTCTAAAGATGCACACAAAGACAAATCCAAACAAAGCACAAAAGCAATAGTATCTGGTAGGAAGAAATTTTTCTCTCCAGAAAGCTGGCTTCTCATTGAGAGACTTTGCTAAGTGATTTAGCTTCCCTAGCCTTAAGAAAGCTAATTCTTAGCAAAATTCTGGCTCCTAGTGTCAGGCTTCCAGGAGATATCTTTCTGAGCTATGGACATAGTACATTATATGTACCAATACTGCTTACTTTTATAACCTATACTGATAAAAGGAAGATGTACTATGCCGATTTTTGTTTACTGTAACACGGAAAAGATGGCTTCTCTGTACTGTTCACGCTTGTGGCAGAAGAAGTGCTCTTGGTTACGGGGATCACGCCCCTGAACCTTGCACGCCATTTAAAGGCTAGTTCACACAGACCTGTTTTCTTACGTTACGTTACAAAAGCTTATGTCCAAGTCACCGGGAAATCTGTGTTTCGCGACGACGCCGAGCTAGGACTTCGAGTTACCGTGGCAACCAAGGACACAAAGCATGTCGTAACGCAACGTAAGAAGTTGACCTCGGTTCAACTTTTAAAGACTGGTTGTTTTCTTACATTACGTCCAAGTCACTGAAACATTTGTGTCTGGAATGTCGGGTGCCAGGTATACCTCCTCGACTTTGTAGCCATGCTTGATATGAAGCACAGATATCTTGGTGGCTAGTATGTAAGCTTACGTAACGTAACGTAAGGAATCGGGGCTGTGTGACCCAGCACTTACTATGCGATACAGGCAGTACAAAGCAGCCACCATGCCCGAATGTTACTATAATAAGTAACAAAGCAAAGTTTGTTTAGTTTTCACCGATTTTAAGATAAAGGAATGTTTACATAATGTGTGGACTGCTTTTAATTAAAGGGGCCCTCCGGAGCGTTCTGCGATGGTCTATTTATGGCGGTAACTGAATCTACAGGCCCTAAGGATCCTAAAAATCATAAAATTACGGTCATGCGCGGCGGATTTCCCTATTAAAATTGCTATCAAAGTCCCCGGCACGCCCCCTTTTCTGAGATGACCCCGGAAAACGGGAGGGGCATCTCTTTACGCGTCAGCCAATGGCAAGCGAAGGATTCCGGCGTCACTGCGCGTCACGAACGCGGCCGACCGCCGACCCGCGGAGGAATTTCCCGAACACGCGCGGACCGTCGTCAAGGGGCCCGGACTTTGTGCTCGGCAGTCGTCGTTCGTCGCACCGCACCGTCGCGCTGTTACTGCAATACGCAGTCGCATTCCACAGATGACAAGGAAAAGTTTGACTCGTTGACGTGGAAGGATCGCAAAGCTGGCTTTGGAGTCTGGATCCATGGGAGGAAGGAACACGTCTCCCGCAAACGCACGCCAGCAGACGCCGTGGGAAGCAGACGAGGCGACGTGCTGATGCATCACCCCCTAGCAACAAGCTTGCGGGGAGAAAACATAGTTTGCTGGTTTTGGAGCGATAATTGCGGACTATGTTTCCCGCACCACAATCAGTTTACGTTTTTCTCAAATTCTAATTTACAACAAGCTTAAAAAGTGTTGCAATAACAAGGTTCGCATTAACCGTGAGATGCAGCATTTCCATTGGTCAAGTTTTAGCGATGGGCAGGGAAGGGATATTGTCTTCCAAGAGAAAATAGTCCCGATATATTTCTTCTGTCATCTGCTTAATAGACGGTTTTGTAATCTAAAACTTTGTATACATATTAACTTGCACCTACTACGCAATATAACAACATAAACAGACGATCGCAGAAAGCTCCGGAGGGCCCCTTTAATGGCTCACTTCTTTTGGTCAAGTGTGCTTTAATTTCCTACACACTTCACATCATTACTCTACACCAGGGGTCTCCAAACCCCAAACGGCAAGCCAGATCTGGCTTGCGTAAGCCTTCGGACCAGCCCGCGGCCGCGGCTCTTCCAGTGAGACTCGGCCCACGTCCAGCTGGCCCATTGATACCTACTGGCGCAAATATGAGCGCACCTCAAGAAACGGCGTCGCGGCATGCACCAAACAAATCCTATCCGTTCTGATCAATATGCCAATGACGATCAATATTTATAGCACAATGTCATCACCACCACCATCATCATCATCATCATCATCATTCGTGGTCCTCTGTTTTAATTGTGTTAAAATTCCTTTGCTTTCTTATGCATATATTCTGCTTAGTGTCATGTGCCATAACTGTCACATATATTTATCATGAGGCCTTCCAATCTGAGTAGTCCTCTGTCGTTTATGAATATGGGAAAGCACCTTGATTTATACCTTCTGTGTTTTCTGGATCAAAAATATTGTTTAATGTCATAATTATACTAACTGTGTAATGTCAAAATAAATTATGAGTGTAAAGATTACCTTAGCTTTTTTAGATACATATGATAATCTGAATTTATGTATTTATTATGTTATGGACTTTTTTATTTAGTTTTTCATTGTTTATATTTGGTTATTTATTTTCCGGCCCTGGAGGCTGCGACAAATCCCCAATCCGGCTTCTTAGTCAAAACGTTTGGAGACCCCGCTTTATACTAATATTGCCTCCCAGTGGCAAGGCAAGAGTGATTCCTTTGTTCTGCATACGTTATTGCACCTTCTCTTCTGAAAAACTTATTTGCATCCTGGTTTTTAATGAGAGGAAAATATCTTATAGTTTGCAAGGGGCAAGCCCAAAGGATACAGTTCTCCTCTCCTCTCTGGATCCTTGGGGGACCCGGAAGGTTTATAATCACCAACTTGGAGTCGTGGGACTTGTTGACAATGACTTCATTCAACTTCACGGCAGTGTGCATGCGACGCACATTGGCTTCATCCCTGTCAAAGAGCCAGGAGAGGAAGCATGTTAGTGTGCATCTGGATAATGGAACATGAAACGTCGTAAATTAATGCAGTGCTACTTGTGTTGCTTAACACCCTCCATATATAATGTGCCAGATAGCCCAAATGTTGAGTTTATATTCAATTCTCTACATTAAAGAATTTGCTTATTTTAGAAAGGTATATCTCCAAGAAAATATGGCATTTTAATTCTGTTGCTTTTCCTGCAGTACAGAAGTGTGTGCAGAGAAAGGTGAACCTGTGAAGGAAGAGTTCGTCAACACGTGGTCATTTATCGACTGTTATCGTCATGGGCCATGACCCAAAAAAGCTCTCTCGCATACGCTGCAACGGCTTTTTTATCAACGGTGGAGCGCCACTCGCATGGATAATGAATGCCCTTGCCCCTTTGCGGTGGAAATGACCACGGATGATTTAGCATGCGGGCAACCTGGTCCAATGCTTTGGGTCCCCAGGTTGCCCGCAAGCCGAACCATACGAGAACGGTATACTTACGGCCGGATCTTGAGGAGTCCATCAAAAGACTCCTGCTTTTTCTGCCCGTTTGCTGTCGGACCATTGGTTGCGGGTCCAGTAGAATCGCCTGACCCATCCTGAGTCGGAGAAGTCTTCTCTGGGCTCTCAGCAGCACTTTCTTCTTTAGACTTTTCTTCCTCCTCCGTGACTGGTGAACCTTCTTTTGGCGACGCCGAAGGCTGCTTAGTTGGAGAACCAGATGGCGATTTGGTTGGTGAAGACTGCCTCGACGAACGCCGAGACGAACGGTTATCTTCATCCGTGGCGACCTCCACTAGCTCTGTATCCTCAGCTTGCTGAGGTGGCTTGTCACTAAAACGTACCTTCAATGAAAGTTGCAATGACAAGAGTTAGCCCATTGCTCCTATCCTATGCAATTTGTTTTTCTAATATAAGTAGGCCCAGAGCTTCTATATAAAAAAAAGAGTTGGCACAGGCTCAGATTTCTATTGATGCTTTGATAGGTTTCAATGTTTTGCAAATGGCTACTGCTTTTACATGGCAAAAATTTTTGAAGCTAATAAGATAGCACACTCAAATATCAAAATCAGCCACCAGTCTACACATTGTGTTGGTATAACATTAGCATGCAGCAACTGGCTTTACAACAAAGTCAGTTGATCCATATTTGCCTGGACAGTACTGTTTATTTCAACCTGAAATTAGGGCAGTCAAGCAAGAAACTAGAAAGCTGTAAACCCTAAGCATTATGCTTGTTGAAACCTGACATTGAGTTAATTCATATACCTACAAAGCCTGCAGTTTTATATTGAACATTACCGAAATTCAGTAAGCTTATTTGTGAAACAATATGTTACTTGTGAGGCAGTAGTACAAATAACACTCATGACACTTAGCTATTATAAAAAAATAAACAGTGATGTGCAACAAGACCACACACAATAACTGCCAAAGAACCATCGCAATAACTACCAAATTGTTGAAAACATGGTTACCAAGCAGAACATGCTGTTGGGTCATGAATTTTGAGAAACAGGCTAGAAACTGTAGTTATAACACAACATGCATTTCAGATAGTTATGGTCACATCTTTATGTCAACAATGCTACTGCTCCTGTTAATAAAATCTGTCTACCTTGGAGCTGGTGTGGTTCTGCACATGGTGATGATGATCCATTATGGTCTGGACCTAGGGGAGGCAACATAACCAACGAGCTATATTTAACATGCAACAATCCACCATGAAACCATCACAACACTGCAATGATCACATGCTGGCAATATTAATAGCAAACTAGACTACATGCACATAGGGACGAACTGACTCACTGTTTTGCCAGCTGATATGCCATAAACCTTAGATATTTGTGGTGTTGCACCACTAGTCTTGACTGGCTTCCTCTATGAATGGTTTCCTGCTATGACATGTGCTGTTTGTGTAACCACAATACACTGATGAGCTTGAACATGGTGATAAACAGCACACAAGAGACAATGACACTGTAGAAGAAAACAGACAGGACAGTGCTTGTCCTGTGTTTTCTTTTACTGCATTTGTTTCTTGTGCACTGTTTATTACCATGTTCAATGCATACCAACTTGCCCGACTAACCACCCAACTGATGAGCTTGTTTGGCCACAATAATGACTCAAAGGTTATTGGTACAGTGTCAATCTATTTTATAGTCTATCCCTTTCCAATGTTGCTGTTCAACTTGTGAAATTTCAATGAATCCACTCATTTTGTCTAATCACTTACATTACTATCTCCCAATAAAATTGTGATAAAGTTAAATTAATACAGTGGAAGACTACATTCAATATTGAATGCATTAACTTCTCCATTTTTCTGGAAGGTTAAAAGTAGAGAGCTTACACCACAAAGATATTAAGACCATGAGCAGTAGTTCAGTACAGAAACTGAGATTCGTTTGGCATGCAGCAAAACAATTGGCACATGAAACCATCCAAATGAAGCTACCTCAGCCAGAAGTAAATCAGTAGGGTTCGGCAGTCAAGTGAAGTCAGCTGTTCAAACAGGTAGGAATCTATGGTATTGACTTTACATTATAATCATGCAACAAAACATGGTAAAAAGCCTTCGAAGAGAAAAACAAACCTACCATGCTTAATGTTTCTCTTCGGTTGAGCCTCAATTGTTTGAGCATTTCTGTACGCTGTTCCATCATCAAAGTTCTTTCATACGTGTATGCTGAGATGTCACTGTCATTCTGTCAGTGGTGGAAACAACAAAATCACATTTTAAGGTCATAATCACCCTTAACGAAAAAACAAACAATGCACCATACCATTTCAACAACCTCCACATCAGCGTCAATTCTGAGGTGGTACAGAAACATGGCCAGGTCCTTTTTCATTTGAATGCTGTTGTCTTCCAGTTCTGAAGGTAGTTTTCATGAAAAGTCAAGGGCAGTTGCTTGGGAAGGTCAATCATTAGGCAGCCTTTCTCTTTGAAAAGTGAAAGCAATATTACCACATTCATCCCTGCTTTACTTTTCTGTCTTAGTCCAAATTGAAATAACAATATGCATTACACAATAAAAAAATTAGGCCCCATACACAATACAAAAAAAATGTTCAAACATATTTTGTTGTTTATGTTATAAAGAGAAACCATCAGCAGACTTATGAACATGTACTAAGTATGTGTGAATAGCGGATTTTGAGTTTGAAGCAAATTCAAAGCGAGTAGTGGTTTTGACCAAATATTATTATTATTATATTGCTATTCTTATTATTATTATTATTATTATTGAATACTTTCTCCAAGCCCTTCACTACTGCACCATGCTTAAACGAAAACCCAGCTGAACTTGTGAAGATTGGTTCCAAGATTCAACTTGTCCATTTCTAAGCTAAGTTAACTTAGCTATATTTATGAACTATAACGTCATAAAGTCCAATGCTTACAATTGGGATGGCAAGTCAAAGACGTACGTGACATCAAATTAAACTTTTAGAGATACCCAGCTATACCTGATCGAGAGAATTTATAAATCTTGATACATGCAATCATTATTTGATCTTGATATATTCAAATAATGATGAAAACAAATTGTCGGGACATCTCTGCCTAACATATACTCCTGCATAATAGCCAGTTTAATTTGGAAAATTATACTGTATTGTGGATATCAACATTCACAACGTTTCCGTTTCCTTTTAAATAAACCAGGGGCGCGCGCGCACCATCCCACTTTCAAAGTTTGCTTTGCTCCTGAGCACACAACTGCAATATTTGTACTTCTCGAAGTGTTGATTGCAGTGAGTCAGAGCCGTATATGTAGAGGGTTTGGCCATTCATTGGGAAGTATAGGAGACAAATCAGGAGGTGCCATTGACTGAAAGTGGGCTGGGCGTGTTCCAGGGCATCGTCACAAGTTTGAATCGAACCAGAAGCCGGAAATTATACCCTGGCGGTGGTCGCGAGAAACAAACTTAATAAGTGCGTCGCAGTAACTCGTGGCGATTGAAATAATGTTGCACGAGATGTTTCAATCACGGTCATCCAAAATCACGGTGGAAGAGTGCGACTAGCAGAACAACTGACATAATAAGTACGCTAGGCGTCGAGGGCCGGGAATCTGCCGTCCGAGTGGTCACACTCTGTCTGAGCAGAACAGTTGAGCGGCACATTCGTTTCTTACATCTTTTTGCATGATCATGATCGACACGTCACGTGCACCCTATTTTCAACCATGACGGGTTACTACATTTTGACTCTTACGCGTTTATTAAAACCATATACCTATGATTAAAACTGTTTCTCGCTACCACGCTAGGGGATTCTTTTCGGCTTCTGGTTGGCCAAGAGAGCATGTCAAGCCCTCCTTCCGCGTCTGGTGCACGCCCTGGCTCTGCCTGCACTTCTCATTGACCAAACTCTCTATACACGGCTCTGCAGTGGGTTAGCCCTGTAGAGTGCGCTTCTTACTGAGCACTGGTGCACTGAGGAAAAGCAACACTCGTGGAAGCGGGCTTTGTGAATGTTGCTTCTCCGCAGGGCACCAGTGCTTGGTAAGAAGCACGCTCAGTGGGGCTAGCCTACCGTTTTTACCACTTAAAAAAAATATGAATACTGCAGTTCATCTCGAAGCGAACATTAAATAGAGCATTATTCAAAACTACTATATGAAAATTTGAATATTTGCACGACACTACTAGTATGCATGAATATGTGACTGGATAAACTTAAGATCTCAACAGTTTCACACCTCCCGGCCCCGTTCTTTAATTTACATTTTTATAACCATCACAAAACCAGAAAACAAAAAGAAAGATTTGTTTTCTTTCTTTTGTTTTGAAAACAAAAGAAAGGTGTATCACAAGAGCTCTGTATTTTTAGTTTCAACCGAAAACTGGCAAATAAATATAAGCTTTAAAGGGCCCAGACACCTCCAAAAATATATATTTTCGTGCAAAATAGTGGAACATGGGGTCAGAACACCACCCAATTAATTGTTTGCCGAGGACTTGCATAAGTCAAACTGAAACCAGAGGACCAGTGCAGTGGAATATGGCTTTATAGACTCCAGAGTCACTTTATAGAGACTCCAGAGCCAGAGCAACAAAGCGTTAAAAATCTCCTTAAAGTGGAACTCTGCTTCTTTCTAAACATTTTATATAATAAACAATTTTAAAGTGGTAATAATGAACGGCTCTACATAAATCATTTCCCGAAAATTTTAAGTATTTTTCACCACCATCTTGCTTTAGACGTGACCGTAAACTGAAATCTGAAACTGACTATGGTAGGCAACAGTGGCACTGCATTATCAAATACATGGTGCACCCAGATGGTACAAGCAGTCGCGTGATCAGGGATGGAACTGGGGAAAAACAGCTTTGGAACAATCTTGGGAGCAGAAAAAACGAGGTCTTGGAACAAGTTGGAAGCAGCATACGAGTTTTAAGAATGTTAAAATAAAGGCTAAATGTCATCTGGTTTTTAGAACTAAAGAGAATGTGGCATACAGGTAACTACATGTTAACTTAATGGTAGTTTCAAATATTTTTCAAAAAATTACGTGCAAATTACACAAAACATATGAAGCAAAACTGCACATGACAGTGCGACATGTGATAAAACCGACTTGCAAAGAGGTAAATGTAAACAGGTACAAATAGCTTTTATTGCTCATCGACTAGTAAGGTGTACCGAAAAATAAAAATGCAGGTACAAAAATGGTTTTTCATTTTTCAGTGACTAGAATAAGATAATATAAATCTATTGGGACTTCGTCAACTGCTCACAAATACACTTCACTTTTTCGAGATTCTGAGCCAATTTTGCATTAGCCTCCGCTAACAAGTACTTGTCCAGACTCAATCTCCTCCATCTCTTTTTTTTTTTTTTTTTAGACCCGACTCAATCAATGACTGCGCATGCTCAGGTATTATAGTCTGCGAACAGATGATGCGCTGTTCAAGTTGCCGGTCTTCTTCCTGAAGACGAGCTCTCTTCATACTCGCATCACTGTTCTTCCTATTATGCCTCTCGTCGTCTTGCTTTTCAACCTTTAGCCTTTCTGTGTAAACTTTACCAGACTTCTTCAGTTTGCAACAAGTCTGCTATCAAAGGTTCTTTCGTGACATCACTGCCAAATCACTTCAAAGCGCAATCACGATCTGGCAGTCCGTATCTTGCTCCGTCATACGGCTCACTGCTCGCTCGCGTTTGTTCCCAAATTTTGTGCGCGAGGCCGCGGCACATGTTTGCTCCATCACTCAGATCTTCAGATGAAGTGACTCCAGGACTTCAGAAAAGCACGGTGAGCATGGAGCAACGGCAGTTAACGTTGGTGGCAGCAACCTTCAGATACGAATTTTTGTATTCGGATCCACTGGCGCCCCATTTGGGCCAAAAGTCCCGGTGTCAATGTTGCCAACAGAAACTGCAAGAAGGCTAATTTTGACAAGGCTCGTTTATAATATCAGCTTGGGTGCATCTTGGTGCGATTTTGTTCTTATTTATGCCTTTGTATCAGTGTGGCACATGAAAAGTCATTAGGCGCACAGTGGCACAAGTGGTGCCACAGTTCCATCCCTGGTGATACACCACGCGAACGGATGCAGTGCAAGTATTGTCTGCATCACAGCAGGCTCTGTGTCAAACTACTTCCACGTTACTCAGCCTGTGTGCGTCTCCAACGCAGATGAAGTTTGTAAGTAAGACATTATGGGGACAGAAGGGACATACTAACTGAAACCGTACGGGAGGCGGGACACTCCGATATTCCCACTCAAACTGTTCACAAGAGTACAATACTACGTCGAGATTAATGGGACTCATCCATGGCAGACGGCTGGTGCGGCCTGTTCACAATGCTGTATCCACCCCACGGGTGCGTGCACATCCCACAAAGTACCGCGAATCGTGGCACTATATTTGCAAATTCTACCCCAAAAAGTAAAAAAAGAACTAATGTCTGACATCATTTTTCATACTGCATGTGGCATGCTAAATTAGATCATTCTGTTGAGTTGGTGCATCTCAAACTTTGTTGCCCATTTTAGTAAACATATAGACGAAATTGCATGTAATATTTCGACTCGAGGACTTCCGAATCGATACTCTGCAAACTGCACCGCTTTCTCAATAACAAGAATAAAGTGGAGCTGTCCCTTAAATCCAAGTGTTTTCAGAGGTCATAGAAATCACCGTTTCAAAAATTCTACAATTTTTATTACTGAATGGAAAGCGCCAAATAAACAAGGACGAAGAAGGGGACGAGACGAAGCGCACTCTCAACTGAAGGTTCATTGAAACAAACATTGACTATTAATAATGTCTATCTGGGTGATGTTTCAATAAACCTTCAGTTGAGAGAGCGCTTCATCGTTGTTTATTTGGCGCTTTCCATTCAGTGATTTACAAACTAGCCCAGTGGTCTATTATACTACAATTTTTATTAATGAATAATTGCCTCCGCCAGCTAGTTACAAAATATTTTGAGTTCTGTGCACTCGTGACAACCAAACCGAGTAAAAGGGAGCTAAGGGAGACCTCAGCAAAAAACGGAAAAACAATTTTAAGTTGCAAGTATGTTTCCTTGATTGTTGGGGTCTTTTGAGAGGTTTCTGGGAATTTTACATCTGCTGCAGTGACAGCAACATAATTGTGCATAAACTACTCTTGTTCAAAAAAAAAAAAAAAAAGGGGAGAGAGTGAAAGTTCTGCCTTAGAAGCTGATTGTTTTGTTTTAATGATGCTAAATGTTCAGTGATCTTGTACTGTCTGGGAGGTCTGGTACCCCAAAACCAGGTCATATCTGGATTCCCATGACACCTTGGAAAAGGGCAAGATTTTCAAGATGCCATATTTGCATAGCTCACCTGATGAAAACCAAAAGAATTCTGTGAAGTTTTTCTCTACTGCTTAGGCCTGAAAGGGGAGGTAATACTAATACAACTTTGCCTTGCTTTCCAAGGTTATTAAAAAATTATTACAGAGCTCTTGATATGACTAGAGAAAGAAGAGGTAGAGGATCGCCAGCGCGCAAGCAGCAGGGTATTCAATCCTCTGTCTACCACCATTACCCAGCTATAAATAAATCATCATCTTTTTCACTGGAACAATATGGTTACCTTGTTTGGCATAATGTGAGCGCTGTTGCTTTCCCCATTTCTGACTGGAGAAAACCGCCACTATACATACCACAAAGAGACAAAAATATTTGCTTTGTACTCACAGGTAAACATTTCAAACATGCAGGATATAGTCCATATCATTACATACAGACAAAACTTCAATAGCCCAGCAATGAGAAATTAGTTAATGCTCTAGTATATTGAACGCATGAGGCTCATTGATTTGTCGACTGCACATGATCAGAGCAGAGATAAAGGATACGGGCCACAGTGAAGATCCTCAGCTTGCAGTTCTTCCAGACCTTGTGCTGTTTCAGCAGGAATGGCAGAAGCATCAGAAGGCCACCGTCATCTGTAAAGCTGCTCAGGAAACAACCAACATGCTTGGAATCTGGCAGTGTGTTACCATGTCACCAAAACAATATTCATTTTACAACAGTAGAGCCTCGTTGATACATCCTCGATTAATATGTTTATATATCATTCCCTGTTCGCCGCCTTCCCCTTCCGAGATGTTACAGCTGTTGCATCTAAAAGCTGCTGTCAGACACGGCCAGTGCAACGCGGCATCTTCATTTTATTTTTGCTCCACTCCCCTTCCTTTTTGATCCCTTTACCTATCTGCACCGCGCTACTTGTCTATTCTTGCCCAGGAGGGCATGACATTGATGCTTGGAAGGAAATGAGGTTCTTGCAACAGCCTGCTAACCTTTCCATCTCCTTCTGCCGTGCACACACTCTTCTGTCCTGCTCAGCGCTTCGGTGCCCCAGGCTGCATTAATTTCATTTTGAGTGGAGTTTTGAGAAAAAAAAAAAAAGAAGAACTGTTAGTTCACAACTGTGCTCCGCACGAAGCTTCACTGCACTGAACATGCCTAAGAGCAGTGGCTAATGAGGGGCAACATCTGTGTTAGCTTAATCGGCTCGCACATTTTGCTCTCTCCCATACGTCGAGATTCTTCCATCGCGAAATGTAGATCTACACCTCATTTTCAATAACAGTTTCCAAGAAAAAGGGGAGATGCATTTGAATAAACAAGATAGTTTTTCACAGCTGCAAAAGTCCACCTGAAATAAACTTATGAGCGAGAGTCGTTCCCTATGGCCCCTAAAATTGTTATCGGCTCTTATGTTTTGCCAGATCATATATCCTTTTATTGTGGTCCTCCCAAAAAAGTATTAACGAGTTTATGCTGCATTTACCTTTAGTAAAAAAATAATATAAGCTATCCGGAAGAAGACAGCTATCGAAAAATTGCTTGCACTAAGCACAGATTTACGAAGGCTCCTTTTGCCAAAAGCCACAGTCTTCATTTACAAAAATAAAATGCAAACTCGCAAATAACTTTTTATGAGAAGTTCACTAAGAGTAACTCTACAATACAGTATTAACTTGAGAAAAACCAGCAATGTTTGTAGAAGTGGCCCATGCATCTGCACCTTGCAGAGCATGCAAGAGCTAGTCATAATGATCTAAGGAGGGAATTTTGAAAAAAGAGAACCTCTTGTCTTGACCTTTTCCTCAGTAATATAGATATAGTACACTGGTTCCACAGAGACCCATCATCCTTCAAAATCACCATTACCGACCACTCCGATATGCACCGTTCCAAGTTGGGCTTCCTGGGCGGCGCCATTTTAACGAGTGTAGCGCCGTCTACCCTCTTCCATGCATTTGGGAGAATCTGAACACATCCGAATGACCGACCGCCATTACTGAACTGTTACCCTGCACACCGAGTCGCACCGATAGCAGCTGCTTCTGCCGGCACGGATGCCGTATTCGGCGCCCTCGGCTCATAGTCTTCGTCCCATGGAGGAAAGCACTATCATAATTGGTATGCCAGGAATGGGGAAAAGTACATCCTGCTTTCCTGGCATCTTTTTGTGGGTAATTTTTAACGCAGTTCTGGAGTAGTCGTCGCTCCCAAAACCGAACTCAGCGTTTCGATCGCTAGCGAAATTGGGGATCGCTAGTGAAATTGAGGATTGAACGAAGCAAGGATGGCACGAATTATGGCATGTGAATTTGCGCTGAACTCGAGTTGTCGCAGCTTGGGGGCGCCGGGAACATTTGAACTAACTGCGTGGTTAGCGGCTCAGACCTGCGCGGTCACGTCTGCTTTAATTGAAATAGAAACCTCAAATTTAAATATGAATCAATATATAAATACCAAAATATAATACAAAGACAAGGCAATGTGCTTTGTCTTTGTCACTTCTTCTGTCAGTTGCTGTTTTCCTAAGAAAGAAACATCTGAAGTGAGGCACTGCACAATGGATGTTGCCGAAATTTTTGTTTTCGCTCCGCACCAGGCATCGCCTGCCAATTACCACCTGAAGGAAAACAGTTATTAATCAGTGGACCAGGAGTCATGCAACTGCTTTCTTTTTTCAATGTCTAAGCAGCCCTCCGCTTATCTTTTAGCCATAGCCCAGGCAAAGGAACGGCACGGGGTTCTCCGCAGTTCGCCGGTCGTCCAAGAAATGGTCGGAGCACACACCACTGCTCTTCGATGGCAAGAAGTCTTTCCTGTTTAAATTCGCCAGCCACCGGCGTTGTAGGTCTGGAGCAGCGGGGAGCTGGTGCAGCATAAACATGCCGCACCCACATTCATCCTGTTTGACAGCGTGGGTTCGCACACAAAATCGGCGTTTATTTTAAGTTTTTTTTTTTTTTTATTTGTACAATCAATTGCAGCACAGTGCTGCCCGGTCGATTCTTTCCTTGCATAGGCCATGTCACGCGCGAAAACATGCTAAAATATCAAAGCGGCGCCTAACATTGTTGAAACAACTTGCCTCCATACACTGCGCACATGCTTTCTCCAGTTCACTCCCTGAAGCAGACGAGCTTTCGAGGGAAAGGGTAAGCGGAGGATTGGCGCAGCGCTCTTGTTCGAGTGTTTTTCCCTTTCTGCATCGACCTACTGGAACGGTGTATTACCTCCACTTTGTTTCATTGTAATATAACTGCATACTGAAGATAGTACTCCTAATACTGTTATGCTATTCTTTATACCTCCCTCTGTAGTGCTCCCTCAGCCTTGAGTACAGAAATAAATAAAAATACTCTGCTATGTGACAGAGAGGCTTGACTGAAGGCAAGTAAAATTAGCTCATATTAACCCTTTGCCAACCCTGTTTCAGGATCAATGTAGTAAAATAAAATCAATGAGCACTCAAACATAAAAAATTTGCTCCCAGTCAGAAGGATACGAACAATCCACCAAACATCAATGGTTCCATGGAGCTTCTCAGTGTTGTCAGGAAACTGGTTGATGTTCTTTGGCACCAGGAGGGCATTCTTGCTGGCAGAAACATTGCGAATTGTTTCTAGGGTTGGGGAAAAAAATGGAACTACTTGTAGGTAAACCCGACAAAGTGAAATTTAGAATTGCTATATTTCCCAGTGTATAAGTCACTTTCTTTCCTCCACTTTATACAAAGGTACAACTTATATACAAACTATTTAGTGAAAAAGGCTGTTAACATTATGGAAAATACCGTATTTACTCGCATAATGAATACTTTTTCCCGAAAAATTGAGAGATATTGGGGGGGTGCGTGCATTACGCGGGGTAAAATGTTTGCATTTCCACACTTCAGTATACAAATGTCATATTAGGTCACACCAATATGACACGGCAAGGTACTGTGGCACGTCTCTGGAGGCGCACCCACGACTGATCGGAAGCACGCCACAGTAACCATGCTTTGATGCTTTATAAATTGTGGACCTTTTTAGGACGCTTTTGGTGTGCCTTTTGCCGAAGGAAAAGCGCCCTACAAAGCTCAATCAGCAGGGAGAGCAATGCGACCGTTCTTAGGCCTAACCACTTTCACGATTTCATTGTCCAAAAGCGGACCACAGACGACGGCGTGTTTGTTGACATCAATGCATCCAATAGGTGAAGAACGTCCGGGGCTGGGCAATTCTCAACCCAAGCTTAGCGAAGTGTGCGCGCCGCTCGGTTTCACAGTTGATCACTTCCGCAACTAGGCACTTGTAGCCATTACGAGAGCGGCTTGGCTTGGCTTAACTTGGCCCGACCGCTTGGCGGCAAAAGAAAATTGGAATTTGAGACTCGGGGAGCCGAAAATTGGAGGTGCATTCATTATGCGAGGGAAAAAAATAAGTTCAAATATTGGTCCCCGTTGTGGGAAGTGTGTTCGTTATGCGAGTAAATACGGTATACTGGTAGATGACTTATTTTTCAAAGGGCTCAATATTTCGCAATTTAGGTCAAAGCTGAAGTTTTGGAATAATTTGCGAGTTCTAATTTTCTCGACACTGTCGAATCTCAATATAGATTCCAATCAGTTTACATTTTACGGGAATCATTCGCGGGACTTATTTTTCGCAAATTGTAGGCGATTCGCAAAATTTGCAAGAATTAGGTTCTCGCGAATATTAGGTACGTCGTTTGCAGTAGGCAAATTACACTGAGCTAAGCTGTCCTTACTTGCATTCAAATTTAGTCTAGTAAATAGTTTTAGTATTGTACTTATGACAGCAAAACCCAACACATCCCTGCTGTATCCGAACAAATCAAAAGCTATCAACCTCAAATGGAGCAACAGTGACTTAATAAAAGAAACAATAGATCCAGATAAGCCATTCTACTGAGGAATGGTCGCTCCCGCAATGAAATCAAAATGAGAGAATAAAGCCAAGAAACAGCTTCTCACCAATGAAAACCTTCCAGGACCGTTCGTCAGGAGACTGCCTCCATCCGTACGGCCAGCCTAGGATGACAGTGTTGTGCTTGAGGCCACCAAGACCTGCTGTCTGAATTCTGTCCAACGACAAAGCATCCCTTAGTAACCAAATTCTCACAGAGTGACCATGCAACATTGTCAACCAAACTGAAAAAACATGAAACAAGGAAGAAAAGAACGCACAGGTGACAAATGCCGTCGATGGTGTTTGTTCCAACCACCACGTCAGCAAATCCTTTCACACGCTCCTCCTCTAGCACTTTCTTCAGGCTCTGGTTAAAAGGAAAGACAAGAAAGGATGTTAATATTACAAAGCTTACAACACATACTAACAATTTCTTTTTTTAACAGATGCAAATTTAAAGGGACGCTGACAAGGTATTTATGCTCCCAAAGGTTTTTATTTGTACATGACATACCAGAGCCCAACAACCCAGAACAGAATATGCGGCTCGAAATTAGTTTTCTTTCCACCTGAAAACCGCCGATCGAGAACTGGCCAGTCTGAGTCGCGCTCACTCTCTTCTCTGTGGTCACATGCCATTGTCTATGGTTTAGACACAACCACCAAAGGTAATCAAAGTCGTCGGTCACCGAAGGCACACACTCAATATTAAAAATAGAAAAAAAAAATAAGATACCCATTTTTTATGTCTTCTAGAAAACTGGCAATATGTTGATTGATAAAAAAAAAAATGTTGCACAGCCATGTGACTTTTGCCAACTCTCTCCTTCTCTCTATTTCTTCTTCCTCCCCAGTCCAGTGTCGGTTTCAAGCAGTTGCATGCTTTTACTTTATTAAAAATGTTTGCGACACTGTAGCAAAATAGCCTTCCGACACCATAATGAATTGCCGGGCAAAAAATAAATAAAATGTTCTGAAAGGTGTCAGTGTCCCCTTAAGTTAGATATAACTTGCCAAATTAAGTCATTTCGAGTTTACCTGCTTGCTGGCTTGGGATTCACTGAACATCTTGTTGTATTCTCCTTCCAGCACAGATGAAACCAGAGTCAAGCCTTTGCCTATATGAAAGCCAAACAACATAAATCAGAAAACTGGGTTGCACCATATACTGCATAACATTCACCCAGTATATTTGTGTGGAACGCATGTTGAGCTTTACACCATCAAAACTAAGGGGAAAAAAAAGTTTATTAAAGCATACTTATGATATCCCTACCAGGGATGGGCAAAATACATGCAAATATGTATCGAAATACAAATACAGAATACTTTGTCAAAAATATATTTAATTACAAATCTAATTACATTTCCAAAAAGCATTTAAATACAAGGTACAAATACAACCAAATGTATTTGGTCTCCTCCAAATACTTTTCCAAATACATTCCTCAAAATTTGCGTCTGTGACTTCAGGGCACTTGTAACGGGTTTCTAGGTATTTCATTTTAATTTTGCATCGCACACTCGGGAGTTAGTGTGCGAGGCTCTAGTAACGTAATAGAAATATAATCACAAAAAATGTAATCAGCTTGGACGGAGTAGGTGAAAAAAGTACAGAGCTTCAAGCAGCTTTTTTTGTCGATTACATTCTGTTATAAACCAACAAAGAACCGAGACGACCAAGGCATGCAGATATAGCTAGAGAATTTTTTATTGTTGCAACTCGCACCAGTTACGAAAATCTGAACGACCCGTGCATTTAGAATGTTCCAGGCAAAAATATGGATGGAAGTCAGGCTGGAAAGCATCGCAAGTTGTCACAGGCACTTATTTCGCCAGTCTGCCTGTAAACGTCGATTTCGTCACTATTCTTGCCCTGGACTAGCACCGTAATCACAAAGTCACTAAACGCTTGTACTGGATTGAGAGACACTGCATTTGGTGCAGAACGTAGCTTTCTTCGTGCTCTGGACAGTGCCTTTTAAAGAAAGCCGGAGGAGGAAAAGAAAAAGGCCCCATGGCCGAATAAAGGATGGAGACTATATCTTACAACCACATGCATAAAAACAATGATTATCGTGACAATAAATTTGAGGGATGTATTTTCGCCCACAAAATTGTATTTAATTACAATTGTATTTGAAATACCCACGTTTTAGTATTTAAATACACACGTCAAATACATTACCCAATTTGTAATTAAATACAAATGCAAAAAACACAAGGTATTTGAAATACGTATTTCAAATACTTGTATTTGAAATACTGCCCATCCCTGATCCCTACATTGGTCTAAGGCTACTGTAGGAAGAATGTTGATCAGTGCAGCCCAACTGCTAACTTGGGATGTCTATCAAGTATTGCACTATACTGCAAAGCACAGGAACAAAACATGAACAAGGGCTCTTTTCAATATGTCCATCCATTAAAGCCTCTGCTGCTGTTCTCCCTTTCTTACTCCTTTATCAAGAATACATATCACTACATTAAACCAGGGTATCCATATTTGGCAATCTATTGAATCCTGCAACACTCTAGTGGAGAGGTAGTGTAGAGAGTCGCAGCACTTTGCATTGTGGCTGAAAGTGACCTTCGTTGTTGCATGTTCGGCAGGTGACGGAGGGATTCTTACATCTGCTCAATGATCCAATATAAATGTAAAGGGACAAGACAGCCCAGGACCCCCACATGCAAAAACTGTTTGCCATCGTCACTCAGTGATACCAGCTATAGTTACAAGGCTTCCTCACAGTCCCTCTCTATGCTCGAATGCCCCTATCTATAGACCATGCATAGTCACAACATCACTGTTGGGTAAACTCTCCATAAGCTTAAAATGAATGTTCCAAAAATTTCAGCAAGAGCGTTGTCAGTCCTTGACCCTCTTTTGTGTTTAGGCTTCATTTTCTGAAAAGCTAGGTTACCCACGATCAGTCTGTTGCCCCACAAACTGGGAAGTGAAGTTGTTTGTTTGTTTCATTTTGTTTTCTTTCACTTCTCTGCCATGGACAGTCAGGCACACTGCCTCCAAGTTGTTGCCTATCTGATCAGCCTAGCACACTGCCCCTAGATCAGACTTTGAGGAAATAAAAAATATAACTAGGGTTCTGCGTTTTCGGTTTTTATTTTTTCAAAATTCAGCGTACTTTTTTCGGTGTTTATTTTCAAATTCGATTTTCGGTTTTTTCGGTGTATATTTATTCTAAAAAAAGTCTTCCGGTTTTTATCGGTGAATATGAAAGAAACATCATCGGACACCGGATTAGACGATTCTTGTAACTGTGATATTTGTGATCACTCAAAGAATAACGGCACATATACATATGTGGCCTTCGCTACAACTTCCGTCAGAACACACCTTAAAATCGCGAAATTAGTGGGCATAATCTTCAGCACGCTTCTTTTTCCTTCCGACTCTGACGACGTGACCGTCTGAGGATCATACAGGCACCAGCGGAAAAAAAAAAAAATGCATTGTATTTATGTTTTTAATTACAGGGAAGTTTGAGAGAGGGTGTTAAAAAAGGTATTAACGGCTTTCCTCGATGTCCTCTGAAGTGCAGGACACCCTAACTTTTCTTAGGACCAGGAACTTGACACACTAAGCCCGATCACAGAAAGGACACAGATGTCCCGCGAAGGCCAATCCAAGGACTCTTTAGTTGCATGTTGAACCCTGTAGGAGGGCAATCACGAAGACGTCACACAATGTCGAACCTAGCAAAGCCCTCTCTCCCCTCTCCCCACCCCCCTCCCCCACCCACCTAGACGCGGCCCTAAAAAAATATCCTTTTTCGGTTAAAATCCGAATTTTAGAAAACGAATTAGACACACTTTTATCGGTTTAGACCGAAAACGCCGAACCTACAAACTGACCTTTTTCAGTTAAAACCGAATTTCCGAAAATGGATTTGGCTTACTTTTATCGGTTTAAACCGAAAACTCCGAACCCTAAATATAACTAACTTAAACCTAGAAACCCCAAAAGGACAGCCAAGCAGTCGCCATAAATGGGGTGAGGGAAGCAGCGGAAAAAAGTGAGAGCGGCTCACCGGCTTTGAGCTGCGAGGCAAAGCTGATCATTTTGCGGTACTTTGGCATGTAGTCCTGGTTCAGCTTGCACAGCACCAGGACTTGAGGCCTCCAGTTCTTGGTGTGGGGCGGGCCTTCTTCCAGTCTCAACAGGCTGTAGCGGGCGGCACTCAAGGCCAGACCACGCAAACCATCTCCCCACTCCTTCTCAGCGCTGCAATGCAACAGAGAGCTCAATGCTCTGAACTGCTCCTCAGAAAGTGCTTACAGTTTGGGCTAGGGCCATGAAGAACCACCACAGGCATAGAAGCACTCACCCTCGGTATTCAATGTACTTGTAGACAATTCCAGCAATCGCCATGGCGGCAAGAGCGTAATACCAGCTGCTCAGAAACATGACCACCAGGCAAAGGACGACTCCGGTCAATGACAACGACCTGTGCAAAGAGTAATCCAGAGTGAGGAGGGTAGCCAGAATAAAAAAAAAAAAATGTTGCTACGACTACTAGATAATAAACAGCCACAGAGAGATGTATATGTGTGCACATTACTAATTTAATAGTTTAAAGATAGTTGAAAATATTTTATGGTGCAATGGAAGGTTGCACCTTGGATTAAGAACTCCACCTGCTAAAAACAATCGTACGACAATAACCTTTTTCTACAAAACTGTTGATTTATAATAGTTTGTTTATCATATTTCTAAAGATGTGCATTAATTGTTTGTATTCCATAGAAGCTAGCATATTTCAAGCTTGTAATTTGGGCAGTGAAGGCTTTTGAAGCTCAACTATAACTTTCCTGAAAAATTGTGCCTTTGTGGCCCTGCAACCAGTTGCTGACCTACAATTATCATATGAACAAATTAGATTGATGAGAAAATCCGCTTAGACTCTAAAAGGAGAAAAATACCAGTTATAGACTCAACACGTAAAAACTAAAAAGCTTGTATCTTATAATTACAACAACCCGAGACTGAAAAACATGTAGACAAGGGGACCAATATAAACAGGGTCTCCATCGCAGCCGAAGGTTTATTAATCTAACCCCACACAGAATAGTGGAGCCCGCATCTATCCCCGGAAAACGCATATAAAATAAGCCCAAAAAGGTGAAATATGTCCCAGAGTGTGTTTTCTTAAACAAACCCCAAAACCAATAAACCAGGCAGAAGTGGCAGTGAGTGTAGAACTGCAAGAGGTTCAAAGGTGTCTTGACTATTGTGGTCCAGCCTTATATGAATCAACTTCCATAGCACACTAATAAGCACTTTGACCCTTAAAAACACCCTAAACCTACCTTTTATATGAAGCCAATTATGATGGAAATATCTCTGCTTAAACCTTTTTTTGTTTTAAAACCATCAAAGGCAGGTGTCGGGTACATACCAGTGGTAATATTTGAAACGGGGGCGCCAGTTTGGAGTTTTCAACAGGCTCTGAAGAGTGCAGGCCAGGTTGACAAACATGTAGCACATCAGAAAGAACCTAAACCCAAGGAAAAAGACAGCCCTTAGCAGTGGGCACATCTGAACCACGAGACAAAGCAGAATCTGCTAGATTAGTGGTTCTCTGAACTGCTCCTCAGGGACTCTTTGGGGTCCCTGAAGGCCTTGGGGTCCCTGAAGCCTTAGATTATCAGACAAGCCAAGCAATAAAACTTCTCTTTTTATTGATGCTGGCTGCCCCACAAAGCTAAATAGATGAAACCATGCGCACTGAGTAAGTAGGGTTGATTCTTCTCTATTTTGGGGCTGCAAAGTTGGTTTGCATGCATTTAATTTTCTTTTACACCGATCTTGAAGGGGTCCCCAAAACGTCAGTGGTCGAGAACCACTCTGCTTGATTAAACTACTCCAACAGATACAAATTGTGATGCTAGACAAATATTAAGGCATACAAAAAGACTGAAAAGGGCTGTATAATGTAATACTGTGGTCATGTGAGTGCCAATGACATTGAAGCAGCAAACAATATCAAAATAAACTGGTGGGCTAGTTGGGTAAATATGGCAAAACTCGAACAGTGCTACGAACAAGGACAAGCCGAAGAAATGAATGAGACAGGACTTGGACTTGTCTTTGTCTGCAGCTCTTTTGCATTTAACTAAACAATTCCTAATTGCACATATGAGCAACAAGAAACAGAGGTGAACGTTCAACTTGATTTCAATTAAGGCCATAAATACTGCAGTTTAATTTTTTTTTATATAAATGAATAAATAGCTGCAGTTTTATTTAGTTATAGAACTGTGTAGTACTGGAGTGTTTCTTTCCAAAGGGTAAAATAATGTCCTTTAACAAATGTTTCCCAACACACATGTCCATTTGATAGCCTGAGAAGGACGCTTCGCCACATGAACTTTTATGCAATGTGGAAAAGCAAAAGGGTGGGGGCAGTGCTCTACACAATATTTACTCCACAGTGTACGCTTTTACCAGCTAAATAATAGCGATTCAGTCATTAAAGGGACACTGACACCCCCCAAAAAAAAAAAATTATTTTTTGCCAGGCGCTTCATTATGGTGTCGGAGGACTACCCAATTAATATTTTGCAACAGAGTAGCATATTTTTTTAATAAAGCCAAAAGACGCAACTCCTCGAAACCGAAACCGAAACCCGACGGAGGTCGGAGAAGTGGAGAGAAGAGAGTGAGTGGCGGAAGTCACGTGGCTACACCCTACCGTGCGTTTTTTTTTTTTTTTTTCTCCTCTCCGGTAGCAGACGACAGGACATGCGGCGTGCGATGGGGCGTGCGGGAACTGCTCGCCGTGCGATTATTTTGCAGTTATGTTTGTTCCGCTCGTTGTTCTGTACTCCAAGATGAGTTGTTTTGTACATTGAGGAGTTGGACATGAGTAGTAAGTGCCCGTGGTGAATTTCCATGATCGGCTCCGAAAAGAATACACCCAAGATGTTGCGTGAAGAGCTGGCTCACATTTCCTGAATTCGAAAAAAAGTGGCATTGTGCGACAGAGTTTCCGAAAGATCGACGGGATCGGGACCAACGGCTGGCTGCAATTCCTGTAGAACATATACGGGCACCTCGGAAAGCGGACATTACCTGATTTATATGCTCCTTGCATTTTGTGGAAAGTGATTACATTGAGCTCGCAGGTGTCAAAACGGAAATCCCATACCATTTAAATCAGCGAAGTATCGTCCACAACATTAGTTTGTTATTTTTTTGTTTGTTTCTTCAGTGATGATTGTAAAAAAAATATATATATATGTAAACATCGAAAAATGTTTGAAGAAAAAAAAATTAAGTTCCACGGGGGATCGAACCCGGTCCTACCGCGTGTAAACCGGACGTCTTTCCCACTGAGCTACTAGCGCATCACTTTTCTGGAGGATCTCTTTCCCTAGTAACAATTCAGCCGGTAAACTGTAAGTTGGAAAGTTTGCTGTCGATTTTTCTCTAGCAAAAGCACTCCTGGGTCGAAGTCGGGAAGCACCACGCTTTGGGGACATTCGCACCTAGTAAAGAAATCGTACGCGTGCATATTGAACTCGAAGTAGACACGTCGTGCTTGACGTTTGCGCGAGCGATGTCTTCAGCCACGAGAAGGGATCGACGGCTCGGCGACGTCTTCGTGCAAATCGGCTTGGTGGCCGGGCGTGTCGTACGGGATGAATACCAATTCTTTTGATCACTCCCAAATTTCTCTTTTAACGGTAGACAGAATTCGCCGGTACCGCGAACGACAGTTCTGAAATAGAGGTCCCACGCCCGTCGTCCGCTGCCATCGCCGTCCCCGCGAGTCCCACGATACGCGAAACGACGAACGCACAGGATGCTTCCGGTTGTCTGTGGAACTTTTTTTTTTCAATCAACGTATTTACAGCTTTTTAGAAGCCACAAAAAATGGGTTTCATATTTTTTTCTATTTTTAATAATGAGTGTGTGCCTTCAGTGACCCACGACTTTGATTAAATTTGGTGGTCGCATCGATACCTTAGAAAACGGCCCGTGACCGCGAAAAAGAGAGTGAGCGAGACTCGAACCGGCCAGTTCTTGATCGGCGGTTTTCGGGCGGAAAGAAACCGAATTTCGAGCCGCAAATTCTGTTCTGGGTAGTTGAGCTCTCATATGTCACGTAAAACTAAAAACCTCAGCGAGCATAAATACCCTGTCAGTGTCCCTTTAAAGAAATGTCTGGTTAAGGGGGGGACATGAGCCTAAGTTTCAAAATTTTGTTTAAAAAATTCATTTTTCAAGGTTTTTGGTTTTAGAAACTAACTATACACCCTTACACTAAATTTCATAACCATGCACCAAATAGTTGCCTTGATATAAAATATTTTGAACACATTGTGACGCACTAACAAAGGAAAGGAGTTCAATGTTTGAATGCATTTTTCCCCGTCCACTTTTTGCTGCAAATTTCATATGAAGGAATCTTGTTCGAAGGTAAAATTATTCTGATACCACAATTAAGATGTTTCTGAACTGAAATTTACTGGGGAATCGGGCTATCTATTTTATTTTGTTTTAAGTTAAAGTCTTCATTGAGAAAAGGCTATGTTTTCAAAAATTGACATAGGACAGTTATGCATCTCATATTTCGAGGTAATCCCTCTACCTGAAATATTTACATTTCAGTTATAAACACTAGATAGCCCGAAGTCCCATATATTCAACCAATTCAAATGATTTAATAGCTTCATTTGCATATCATAGATTTCTTAACGAAGAGTGACACATCTTATGCAGGTATGTAGAGTTGTCCTAGAGAGAAGAAAGTTTGCATAGTACACCTTCATCTGAAGTTACATCTCCCCTGCGAATTTCATTCCGATCACTGCAGTAGTTCAGAAGTTCAACCTCTAGCCAGTGTCCCCCCTTAACCATTTTTAATTGCAAATTAAAAGAGTGGCTTTTTTTTTTTTACGAGTGCAGCTATTATGCAGGTGCATGCAGAATTCTGTGGCCAAATGAGTACAAAAACACACGCTAGGCACAGCCTAAGGAACAATAGAAAATTCAAGTTCCACTTGAAGCTCTTAAACAACAAAATGTCATTTTTATAGCTAGTATTTGCAATTAATTAATAATAGACATATCCGTGGCCATCATAAATTTTGAGCAGCATCAAGTTTGTGACTTGCAGAAAAGCAGAGGACCTTCGAAAAGCAGGGCTTTACACCACACTAGAAACATTAGCGCACCCTTAAAAAAAAGCTTCGAATAAAACACGAAGTGTGCCAACTTGCCCTAGCAAATAAGGGACGCATGACCACAGAAGCTGGGGGCATACCAGAGGGAGAAGAGCTTAAATGAGAGTGAAAGTCCAGAAGAGCAGCTCACATGGTCAGGATTGGTGCAATGTGGTCGAGGTTTCCAATGAGGATGCCCAGCTCCGAGATGAAGGCAGTCAGCAAAAGTGCCCGCACAGGCTCTCCTCGGGAGGAGCTCACCGAGAACACATTCAACACCGGAATGACACCGTCCTTGGCAATAGCCTGGAGGAGACGCGGAGCCCCTGGGACGGACGAAGACAGCCCCATCAAAAGGGGGCAGCCAACTTTCCTCTGCCCCCCAGACTCTCCGATTTCATTATACCTCTTAAACCAGAGTTCAAATTAAAACATTCCAATAATTGCCAATAACAAACAAGTAAACTCCTCTCAAGCTACGCAATGCCAGGTGCTAGAAGCGCACAATATTTCAAGCATTACGATTAAACTTTAATATGCTTGTCACAATAAACAGAGTGTCTACCAAAATGACACTCTCAGATTCCCCAACCTCTCCAGGTTTTCTTTGACTATTTTATTAAATTTCCCAGAAACTCTTAAGAGAACAGAGAGTGTCCAGTTTTTGCCAGTTTGAACTTGGGAATTGTTCCCATCCGAAAGGCACAAATGAACAAAACCGGCATGCTCCAGAAATAGAAACAGTTGCGTAGAAACAGGCCAATCGGGAGTGAGTGGTGAAGCTCGGAAGACGAGCTCTCGCACAGACAAGTTATTTGGTGATGGAGCCGACGCAGGAACAGTCCATTTATGGACACAATGACAAGGGGTTTGCGCAAGTTTCTAGACGAGGTGATTAGAGTCCAATCTCCCACTTCCCACCAAAAAAAAAGCAAATCTCAATTTCCTTGACCAAGGCCGATTAGGGTAGAAATTCCTAGACTTTTCTGGACCCACCAAATTCCCCGACAATTCCAGGTTGGTAGACACCCCGATAAAGCGCGATTGACGAGCATTTCCATGCGATGCATGAAAAAAACAAGAGCCAAATACAGTAGAGTATTGGAACTTTGCTGGCCACAAACAAGTATCCGTGGGTTTACCCTGCAGACCACGGCAAAACAGCCTTGGCCATAGCCTTAGCTTTTTGACATTGGTGCTAAAGGCTTTTGCAGTCTGCTTCTCACTGCAGGCCTCACCTGTGAGGGACTGTAGACCTGCTCCAATGGTGGACAGCAGAGAGCCCAACACCACCAGGAGTGGGTGGGGCCAAGCTAGTTGTGCCACTCCTAGACCCCCACTGATGCTTTCACCAAATCTGGAAAAACAGAACAACCCTGAAGGAATAGCTGACAATACTAACTAACATGCAACATACACCCGGTTAATGCCTCCATGCCTACAGCTTAGCTAACTGAAAGCAACACATGAGATGCACATTGTCTAAACGAGCTTCCACTCTGCAAAAGCAGCCTAACAACTACAATCCCGAAGGCGAAAATCCAGCAAGAAGCGACAGTCGATGTGGATGCAAGGCTGTCACTTTCATAATGCTTGAACTTGCAACTACAAAAACTTTTCATATTTAATTATTTTTATGTGACCCTCCTTGCAATAATGGCATATGGTGTACAAAGCTACATAGCTGGAAAAAAAACAAAAAAAACTAGAGAAGGGAGTTGCCTCACTTGTCTCTCAGGAAGAGGTTGTCAAATGCTGCTCCAAACAAAAACACACCAGAAATGTCTGAATTTTCGATTAAGGGCATCCAAAACTCATCAAGGATAGCAGAATGATGACAATGAAACAGCATACCTTACCGGCTTAAAAAAAAATTATCCATGCTTGATTATGCTGACAAAAACTGGTAAGCGCAGTGTGTGTGATAGGCCTTATACATTTCGGCTCTCGTCTGCGGGGCCCCTGTGGTTACATGCAGGGTGTTTCACAAAACATGGGCCACACTTTTCATGTACAAACTATGTACAAACACATGTACAGTCAGCAGCAAAAGTTTGAGGGGCATGGGAGTGCCAGACAAAATGACTGACTGTGCCTTTCAACGGCACGTTGCTGCTCAACACTCGCTTTGAGCATGCATTTTCTTTCGTATTCAAAATCGTTTTTCTCACTCACTTTCGTCCAACTCCCACAAGATAACAGGGACTGGCGCAAGGTGCCGCGGAATGTTATCTGTAGCATGCAAGCTCCGTCACCCTCCACGATTGCTGAGGCAGACGCGTGGCATGATGACTCACAAAGTGGCACCTTGCAGCGGTCCCGATTATCTCATGTGCGTCGGACGGAAGCAAGTAAAAAGGAGATGACTGCGAGCACAAAAGGAAGAGCATTCTCGAAGTGACAGTTGAGAGCGGCCTCGTGCCATCCAAATGCGCAACCAGTCATTTCGGCTGGCACTCCAGTGTCCCACAAACTTTTGCTACCAACTGTACACACATGTACATGCATATGTATTCATACATGTACATACATGTACACGCATCTATGTACATGTACAAAGAAATAATATTGGTAGAGCATTAGTAGCCACTGTCAAGGGGCCTATTTATGAAGGTACATGTTTAGGATAGTAAAGTTTTTTAATTTAGTCTTGCATAATTAACTGCTTAATTAGTAGAAATAAACATAGTTCAAATTATAAACTTGGTGGGTATCATTGAAAACCACCATAATCAATAAATTTAATACAAACTTTGAGCATATTTGCTTTTCTGGACCTCTTGTTATCTGCACCTTCATTCCTACAGCATTGCACTAGAGAGCCTAGATTGAGGAGAGAGTCCATCTGAAACCATGGGGAGCATTTGCAATTTAATGGCGGATGCCTCCTGCAGAGACGGGTTGCAAGTGTGCATGCAATGCCGCGTGGCGAGGAGCAAAGTAGGCAGAAAGGTGGAGTAGTTTGGAGACTATCAAAGTTTTCGGCACCTCCTCACAGCTCATATTGCAAATGCAGCCCATGAACAACGTGACCCTGATCGAGCAGTTGGACACTTGGAAATACATGCTCTCTACATTGCACTTGCACATGTGATGACTTGGGCGCTCCAAGACTTTCTAAAATGTAGTACTAAATTAGCGGTTTTCAATGATGCTCAACAAATTTCTAATTGGAAACACGTTTATTTTAACTAATCAAGAAGTCAATTATGTAAAAAGAATTCAAAGTTTAATTGCCCTAAACGCTACATACCTCCCTACATTAGCCCTTTGGCATTGGCTGATATAGTACGATTTCTTTTTACATGCAATACACCGTAAAATCCCGAGAGATGCCCCACCTCCGAAAGATAGCCCACCCTTCTTCGTGGCTTGATTTGCTATACTTTTTTTCAACACCGAAAGATAGCCCACTCCTAGTAATAGTAGTGTTGGGATCAATGATAGCCTCGGCGTAAATGCGGCTAGTTAGCTAAATCGGGATATAAGAAAACGTTGCTCACTATGAAGTGCAGTCATCTTTGCTTCGTTGCTCCTAGCCACCATAACAAGCTTGGAAGGGACGCAACCTAAAAATAGCAATTCTTTAACTTTTCTTGATTGTACACCGAAAGTTAGCCCACTCCATATTTTCACCCGATTTGCTCTTAATGTTATGTGGGCTATCTCTCGGGATATTACGGTACTCAGTTTTCTTGTGAAACGTTTGGCCAGTGTTAGGCGATGAAACGCCCGGTAAACACCTACCCATAGACAAGTGAAATGGATAAATGAACCGAGCAATCCAGAATAGTCAGGTTACACAGCACACCAAGACAAAGATGATCAACACAAAAGTTCAACAATCCTGAACTTAAAAACAAAGAAAGGAAAAGATATCTTTCTCCTCCATTGCACTGAAACTTGGCCCTTCCGGTAGGACACATTACGTAAGGATAAAGGACACAAGAAAACTCAAAACTTAGATCTAGTTTCTTCGAAAACATTTTTCTAAAAGGATACAAACAACAGATGTAGTCATTTGTGCAGCCAACGTCCCAACTGGAATAGACTTCTGTGCATCAGCCAAGTCTCCAGAGCGATTTGATCCAGCCATGATTCCTTAGTAAAGAAAAATTAGTCGTCAGTAAGATGTGAACACAACAAAGATCAATAGTCTAGTTCTGGAAAACTTCTTGTGCCATGCCGTCAGAGAAACAATTCTGAATGTTTCTCTGGACACCAAATGGGCATCAGAAAAACAAATTAAAATGGCATTAAGTTTTTTTTTTTTACAGATCTAAGTCAGTAACCTTACAATTCCTATAGAATCTTCCACTAACAAAAGAACTAAGCATTTTAAAAACATGATGGCAGCAACATATGTGATCAAGGCCAAAATGTTTCTAAAACTACTAAGAAGCCAACTTGAAACACATTAGCTCATTTCATCTGCATCATTTGGAGATGAAATAAGGCAATAAGGTATGAAGTAATTGAGATCCACAAGAGCGGTAAATGCAAGACACCAGATAAAGTTGCAGTAGTGTATCTCACCTGTGACTGATGGGAAAAAGATGGCAACAAGGAATGTGAAGGAGGTTGTGATGTCCGACAAGATTTGGTTGTATGTTTCACTCTTTGATGGGAAGACAGATTCATCCGATTCCGATACTACTTCGCCCTTTTCTTTGAACATTATACGAATGTTTTCTGAAAAGGAAAAGGAATACTAGCTTAAATATGGTGATGGCAGTATCACTTGCTATATATACGATACACACAACAAGAGAAGAGAGAAAGAATAACGTGCTTATGTACACTAAACCATGTCCTTTAATGTAGGGTAGTCTTCTAGTGGGGGGGGGGGGGGGGGTGGGGGGGTTATATATACCAGTATAGTATACTAGCGTTTTTAGATTTTCATCTGATATAATGATTTATTCAAGTATAACATGCAGCATTACCCCAGAACATAGCCCCATACTGAGCAGTAAATTCAATGTCACACTGAATGAACTAGGCCAACTCACTAAAGAACACGCCACTCTCCAGGCCAGGCAGCGCTTGGCGCAACTCGGCATCATGATTTTCGAAGTATGGGTAGCAGCTGTAGTCATCTTCTGAAGTGGCATTGGGATGGACTTTGCAGTACTCGTGCCAAAGGGACTTGGACACATTGCGCTCTTTGGAGCAAACATAGTCTCCACCACTCAGGATACGGTCTCCTAGCACGCATATCCTGCGAGGAAACTCACAATGCAGTGACAGCAGCAACAGCAAGCACCAAAAAACACGAGGTTGACAATGAACCTGAATTGGTTTACTGTCTCTGAAAACAGCAAACAGTAATCATAAGAAAATAATCTCAACTTCCAATTAAAAAAAGGAAAAAAAAAAACTTTTGACAATGTGGTTGCAGCGATTCTAAATAAAAATATATTTTGTTGAAACAGCATTACTGCAAATAACTTAACGATTTGAATAGCATCATGCTTCAAAAGCAGCACCCAAATGATTACCAAAGGCAAATGACTCAAGAGTGAGGGCTTAAATTCAATCATACTACTCCAAGCAAAGCTCCTCGGATGAGACCAAACTTTTTGACTTACTGAGTGTCCGGTTTCCCGGCATAGTTGACGAACGCCCCGACGTAGACCGAGGTGATAGAGATGAGGACACAGAACAAGGCAATGGGAGCCAGCTTCGAGACAAAGGCCACGCCGATAAATACAACGAAGGTCATGAGCACAAGCAGGATGGAGCCGTAGGTGCGGAAGTTGTGGTACATCACCTCCTGGTCCTCCCGGAAGTCCCCGTAAAGGGACATCTCCGGAACCAGGTAGTTCTACAAGAGAAAAAAAATCCCGTCACATCTCCAACAGTTATAAATAAAAATGTAGAAGCCTAAAAAAATGTGTTTTTTTTTTTGTTAGGTTAGACACGGAACAAAAACTGTTCAAAATTTCCAAGCAGATTTTCAACAATCACGTTTTTGTCGTTTCAGGTTCGGTTTGTTTACCAATGAGAAGAAAAAAAAGTAACCCAATGACATAGCAGCTAACAGTTGCCACCAACATTTTTAAATAATATTTTTATATTTTGGTGATTTTGGCACACTTTTTGGCACATTTTGGCACTCTTGGCACAAACACACTAGTTTGAAAAAAGTTCCTGGAATTTTCAAAATATAGCGTGCTTGTAGTCAGATGTTTGGAAACATTTTCGTTGCGTGCATTTACTGTAAGCAAGATGCAATCCGTTTGCAAGCAAAGCATTACATGGCATCTATTGTCCCGTAAAAAGCTGCCTACCCGATGTCGGAGGTGTGTACGAAGAAACATATACGAGGGGGGACCCAAAAGTAACCGGAATGAATTTCTGGAGGGTGGGACATTAATAGTACCAGCTTCTGCTGCTAGTAGCTCTTTACGGCACCCCTTCAGAGTCAGTTTGCCGACCGGTGTCGTCAGCCAAGGTTCTAGCAGAAGTTGTAAATGTTTTCCCCAAGCATTTCAAAATCATTTCTCGTTTTTTGCAATATCCGATTTGAAGGACCTTCCACATTCACAAAACCATTTCCTTTCAAGAATTTTTTCGTATGGACGAACAGGAAAAAGTCACACGGGGTGAGGTCTGGTGAATACGGGGGAGGTGTGGAGAAGTGGTGTCATGCCATTTGTGTTAAAAAATTGTTGCATTGACAGGGCAGTGTGTGCTGGGACATTGTCATGATGGAACTACCACTCCCCCTTTCCCTCAAATCGGGGCATTTCTGCCTCACTAAGTTGCGCAAGCATCGCAAGATTCCCAGGCAAAACACTCAATAGTTTCACCAGGAGGAACAAACTCTGAGGGAACAATGCCCAAATCCTTCTATGTTTTCATCGGTTGAAGAGGTTGAGGGTTGCTCTGAATGAGGTTGGTCATCGAACAATAATTCACTGCCCTATAAGAAAGAAAACCCCTCGTAGACCTGCAATTTCTTAATAGCATCTTCTTTGTGAGCTGTCTGAAGCATTACAAAAGTTTACACAGCCGTTTTCCCTAAAAGAAAATAGAATTTCCCGGCTGCATGCTGCTTCTTCAAATCAAACATCGCAAAAAAATGAGGAATGATTTTGAAGCGCTTGAGGAAAAAATTTACAACATGACACTAGAACTTTAGCAGACAACGCTGGGGAGCAAACTGACTCGGAAGGGGTACTGCTAAGCGCTGCTAGCAGCAGAAGCTGGTACTAAAAAAGGCCCACTCTCCAGAAATTCATTCCGGTTACTTCTGGGTCCCCGTACCTCTCTTATTCAAAATTGTTGAACAAATAAATACGTTCAATGGCACCAATCTTCACTTTTTCCTGAAAAAAGCTTGAAACACATCAGTTTATTCCCGAGCATTCAAAATTTATGGACATTATACACCTTAGTCATAAGCAGAACCCATTGTTCATTAGTGTTAACTAGGCATGTACAAATAGTGGATTTTCAGTTCACAGTGAATAGTAATTTTGGCCAAATATTTTCTAATAGAATGGATTCCCCAAGCCTTTCACTACCTCACACCATGCTTTAACAAAACTTTGGCTGAACTTGTGAAGGTTGCTCCTAGGCTCCAGTTGTCCGTTTCTAAGTGTAGTTAATTTTAGCCTAACTATATGAACTGTAGCCTCAAAGTATAATGCCTACACTTGGATGGCAAGTAAACAATGCATTTGACATGAAATTAAACCTATAAAGATGCAAAGCTATAACTAATCTAGGGTAGAAATCTTGCTATACACCAGTATTATTAATTCTATCTCAAATTTAAAAGAAAACAAGAAAAAAAAGAAATCGCAAATGATGAATGCTGGTTGTCAGAACGTAGCTGCGTAACACTGTTCAATTTTGAAAATTTTTTATGTAGTGTCGATATCAACATTCACCAAGTTTGTTTCTTTTTAAATACACCAGGCGCATGCATGTACCATCCTGCTTTGAAAGTGTGCTTTCCTTCGAAGCACGTGACTGCGATATTTGTACTTTTCAAAGCGTTGATCGCGGTGGGTTAGCCCCGTTGAGCGCACTTCTTGCCAAGCACCGGTGCACTGCAGAAAAGCAATACCCGAGAAAGCGAGCTTAGCGAGTGTTGCTTGTCCGCAGTGCACCGGTGCTCGGCAAGAAGCGCGTTCAACGGGGCTAAACCAGAGCGATCAACACTTCGAAAAATACAAATATTGCTGTTCATAATTGAAGCAAATAATGAATAGCGTATTACTCCAAACTACTTTTCGAAAACTAGAATCCTCGCATAACCCTAGTTTTAGCAATATATAGCCAGCATTATCCGATGGCATTACTTTAAGGTAGGGCAACGAAAAAAAGCATATGGAAGAAACTCAAATTCTTGACTTAAATTATTCAACCAAATATGGGGAATGTGCGCATAGCAGTGCAAATAATTTATATTTGTGAACAAAGTATGCCCCTAATTTAGAATTATATGATTAGTTAAAACTACTTATTTCAGCTAATTTATGTGGCTGTGTGGAAATACTTGTTTCTGGAGTCGCACGCAGCTGAAGATCATGCTTATAATCTTGGCAGAACAGAAAAACCATTTTTCTGACCAATACATTAAAAAAAAATTCAGATTTGCATCTTTTTGCATTTTAGCAAAAAACGCAAAAAAAAAAGAAATCCAACAGAATATATTAAATTCAAAGCATTTGTATAAAAATCACACTTTCTAGAATCTAACCATAACCGGCTTCAAAACAACCGGGAACTTGGAAGGCTATAGCAGAGAGACAAGGACAAACTTGCCAGAAAGATCTCAACAGCTCCAGTGATGTACATTGCAGCTGCTACTGTGGTGGCAAGGTAGAACAGTATGCCCACTGCACCTCCAAACTCTGGTCCCAGTGAGCGCGATATCATGAAGTAAGAACCGCCCGCTGGGAGAGAACAACCAGCCTTCAATAAAGTGGTTTAACCTAATGCTACATTCAAAGCAAGACAGGGCTGAGAAATGTGAGCTGAATTAACTTAATTTCCCTTCATATATATACACAACTTTCCCTCAAAATATGTTACATGCATCGCAGACTACAAAAAAAAAAAAAAAATAGGGCATTTATATTTAAACTGGGCCCAACAGAAGGACAAGATTTTAAAAGATAGGCACAGTGAGCACCATATTCTAGAATGATGGTGCCAGATGTGGCATCAAAAACATATATTGTTAAGTATGCAATCTAGCATTAGTGGTAGTCATTATTACATAGTAATAATAAAAAGAAGTTGGAACATTTCAATCTTTTCACAAAAATGGCAAAAAAAATCATTTTACCAAAAGCTGCTTAGAAGAGTGGGCGCCAGTGAATCACGCACACTAAATGTCTAGAACGACGAGAACCATCATATCAAACTTTACGAATATGGTTCAACAGTGCCACCTAGATCTACTTGTTTGGTGCAAAAATCCACCAAGCAATAAAAACATAAAAAACGGAGCAAGAATGACACTGACCTGGCACAATGCCATTTGTTGCAATAGCACTCAGGGAAATGCACGTTGTAAATGTCTAAATGGAGGGGGGGGGGGGGGGGAGAAAAACAAACAGTCAACTCCAACTTGCATGTATAAAAAAAAAGATCAGTAAAAATATTGTTTTTAATAACACATTCATTGACAGTGAGTTATTCCTACTAAGCAAATTGACTTACCACAAATAGATACTTGAAATTGAGTTATGAACATTTATTGACACTTTGGTAGAACTCTTGCTGCAAGTGTAGCCAGAACAGGGCATGTAATGCAGCCCGTGTAGCAAATGTAAATTGGAAATAGGCTCTTGCTTGAAGGCCGACCTACAGAATCGTCTTCTGCCGGGCAGAAAACCCATTCCCAGTATCCTTCTCTTCATTCCCCCTCCACATTGTTCTCTATCCTCTCCCCACAGGAGCAGGTCAGCTATTCCCCGCATGAAGGAGGGGGGTCTCCCTCTTTTTTGAGTGAAAAGGAGGAATTGAGGGAGTTTCCTCGTTTCTGGTTGCTCGTCGGACTTTAAGTATGAGGCACATTGACTGCACTCTGGCAAATTTTCCAATTTAAAGACAACAAAATGAATGCCACTCTGTCGATATGCTACAGCCAGCATAAAGTACACCATAATCCGGCGATTTCTACTCCCTTATTGTGGAGCACTGACGTCTGTGGAACTGAGCACCTGACACAATGTAGATAGAAAACTGAAGCCCATAGAGCAAACAGTCTTGCGAGAATTCTGACATTACTCACAACACAGCAGCACATGAAGACAGTGAGGAAGGCGACAGGGACACCTGCCACACCAACAATCCAAACGAGACGAATGAAGAAGATGACTCCAAAGATGTTTTGAATGCATGGGAAGTACACGCCCGCAATCGTCCCAAGATTGGCTTTCTGTAGAAAAAGAACAAGCAAGTAATTAAATGCATAATTTTTTGTTATTTTTTTCCGTTTAACTTGCACGGTGCGAAGTAGTGGAGTAAATAATTCCCGGGTTCAACAAAGATGTCATATACTAATCGACAGGCATACTCTAAAGACTTTTCCCATCATTCATATTTGCATGTACTAATGTTTATACATACACAACTAAACTAATAAAGTAACACAATAACATGCACATTATACTAGGTACTTCTCAAAGTTGATTCAGTGTTCCATAAACTGCACCCAACAAATGTCAACAGTGTCACTGCGGATCGTAAAGTAGCACAACTTTATCCTTTCACGTTAAAGTAGCGACTGGTCTAAAAAGGGTTTCTCCAACACCGTTACAAAAAGCGTCGAAAGTTTACTTAGCTAATTAAAAACAATTAGCAAAAGAAGCCCAAGCTGTATAGGACTAAAAAAACAAAATCTACCTTAAAAAAAAAAAAAAAAAAAAAAAAAAAAAAATCGGGCGTTTTTTGCTGACGATTTAAGATAAGAAAAAAGGCGGCGGCAACAAGCGCATTTGCCTAGCTTAATTATGAGCGGTAGTCCGAGTGAGTAGCAGCCAATCGGCGCCCATCAGCGCGGATTGGCTGGCCCGAACTCCCCGGAGCGCCGTGTCCCACCGCGGCTCCCTGGGGGCCCGTGCCTCGGCCACCCACACAGCCTCCGGAGCGGGGGGAGAAAGTTTCCGAGTTTGTCCCTCCGCATTCTCCGGAGGCTCCCCGCGGGAGGAGAGAGGCGGAAAGGGGGGGGCTGCACGGATCAATGAGTGCCGGACTGGGCCGGGGTGCTGCTGGGGGAGTGGGGGAGAGCGCTGCGCAGTAGGGCACACTGCAGATGGATGCGGCGAAAGCCCTTGGCGCTGTGCCAGCGCGATGCGCCACTCGGCTCCTTCCCCTCGTGCACTTTTTCCCGGGACCCGCAGCCCTTGTTTCCGTACCGTTGCGGTTCGGGACTCACAGACCGGGCAAAAAAACAAAAACTGTCCCCTTTCTGCTTGTCGGCAACCAAAGCCCGTTGCCATCGCGTTAGGATGAGGGACGATAAAACACGCCGAAACACCGGCTCTTCCCTTTCTCCCGAGGCCGAAAGCCCAGTGTGTGTGTGTGTGCGCCCGAGGGGGGGGGGGGGGACCGAACGAAGAGAAGATGCGATTGGTGCGGGGGATGAAAAAGCATCGCCCGCCCGCCATAAAAAAAATAATAAATAAAATAAAATAAAATAATTAAAAAAAAAGACCCGGCAAACTTTCGAGCACGCTCGAGCGACCGTATCGTCAGTGAAATCAGCGTCGTCGACCGCTTTTTCTCGCGACTTAAAAAAAAAAAAAAAAAAAAAAAAAAAGAATTAGACACGTTAGGATTTTTTTTTTTTGTTCATTACTTCGCGAAGGAGTTTTACAGCCGTTTAGTTACTTCTGGCAGAATATGAGAGATTATCTACAATCCTCGACAATGCGCCGAAGCAGCAAAAAAGAAAGACACCTTATGGTTGTAGAAGCTCTTTCGCTTGTTGACAGCGAACAACAGGTTCTGCTCGCCGAAAGTTCAGTGCCGATCACGTTCCCGGTGAAACGCGAGGTCGCTTCAGCGAACCACTTTAGTCGATGAGGCATTCCAGCAGAGCATCTATTCGATCCCAATAAGGTACCCGGAAGTGCGACAGTCAGCTTACGTCCCCTGCTCACTCGAGCGCGCACGGCGCCAAGAGGACCAAGATCTGCGCGTCAATAAACAGCCGGGAACCCGCGCAAAGAGGTCTTCACCGAGCTTACGCAACTGTCTTGTAATGGACACGTTCTTTGCACCTTGCGAGAGAAAAACGGCCTACTATTACCTGCTCCCCGGGAAAGCGGGGAAAAAAAGAAATCAGATTGGTTGAATAACGGGCTGGAGGTCCACACCGCTCGGCTTAAAATCGGTTATGATGCCATTCACGCGCTCCCGAGTCGAAACGTTTAGCCCATCGCTGCAAATGTTCCCCCAATGTAAACAAAAAAAAAGAAAAAGAAAAAAAAAGAATCAGTTTTTTTTTTTTTTAATATTGTTGGGAAACATGCGGTGTAAATGCAATCAACTCCGGACCGTGTTTCGTACCAAAACGGTTGCACACGGGCGCAGTTGTCTTTGTTGGGGATTTACTCTTATAGATAGGTGACACTCACTGGATTGAAAATAAACTCATCGAGTGTCGGCAAGATTTGGAGTAACTTACCTTCTCGGTTATTCGCGCAGTATCTAGGTCGAAATCGGTAGCGAGCTGGAATTTACACCGACCACGAGACCTCAATGCAATTGAACGGCTTATGCGTATATATACAGAATTTTTTTCTTTCTTTTTTAAGTTTTAATTTGTTTTAAAAAAGCCGCAAAAGCCGCACTAATTCGGTCTGTCCAGGGGAGTTATACTACGGATGGGAAGCGTATAGTAGAGCGCTAAAAGTGTACCAATCGTGCAACAAGTATACAAGGGCTAGGATAAGAGACGGAAATATCGTGCGGGCGCCTTATCGCAACAGCTAGCCTTGCTCCTGCTGCAGGAGTGGGAACTTGAGCGCACTAGTGCGCTTCTCACGAGCTCAGTTTCTGATTTAGTGCTTTTCGATTACGCCCAGCAAGTTTCTAATTGGAACCATATGTCTATTTTCACTAATTAGAACGTTCATGAACAAATGTTACTTAATTAGCCGACTGATCGTTACGATTAGCCTCCTATACTATGCCGCCCTGGCCGTATAACTCGCACAGATATCGGTCAGACGGCAGTTTTTTTATCAGTCAGGTGTCTATGGAACGTTTCCCAAGAAAAGTGCCAGCAGTCAGTTGACGACGCCGAGCGGTCCACCGAAAGCCAAAAGTGACAACGACGATGTCCGTGGGCAGTGCTACGTACAAGCGTTAATTTGTTTGCGTGCCAACGCTTCCGCCAAAGTACACGGGGAGAATGACATTTTGCTTCTCGTTTATCGAGTCAAATTAATGGCGTTCGGAAGCGTATTTTCCGCTGCAACGCAAAGTACGTTCACGTGTTGGTGTGAATTATGCGTTCACACATGGCGCAACTACTTTCGTCGCACGAGTGGCCCGCCATCGCTTTCGTCGCTCGGTCCTCAAACGGGCGAACGCAGAAGAAAAAGGCGTTCTGACCGCTTGCGGCATAGCTCCGACGACAATTCTTTACAAGGATCCCGTGACCCTAGCTGCGATGAAAAGGGCACCCAAGTGCGTGCCGAAAGGAAACAATAAAACGAAGAAACAGGACCGGGAGGGGCAGAATCCATAAAAATGAAGAACGGACGTCATAAATTCGGCAGCCCGAAAGATGGCACGAAGCGGGCTGCCGCCGCCATCGCGCCTGTGCAACGACGACTCAAGAGAGAACGCCTGCCTACGGCTCTCTAACCATTTGGCGCACGGGCAACGAAGCGACGCTGGTAATGTTGTTTGCTTCCAGTGGCGCACTTAGACCGTCCCCATCGATCTCGCAAGCAAGCCAAGCTATTATACGGGCGCCTATTTCGAAACTGGACTGGTTGCTGGGCTCCCCGCTGTCGAAGCTGAGACGGACGGACGGCAAGAAGGTTGTGCCGCAAGATGAGAAAAACGGGCAAAAAAGGCGACAAACAAAAAATAAAAAATCGCATACCGTCTTGTCGTTTCACGCTCCGCAGGATCGTCCCGAACGTTACTTCCGATCCAACGCCTCTAACGAGGCGGCCGAGAGCTGCGCGCTAGTAAGGAAGACTTCGGAACATTATACCCCGAGGCGACGCCGAGAGTGATTCCGAATGGTATGATCGGGGGGGATTTCGGTTTCGCTTACCTTGGGAGCAGCCTGGGCCTCTTCTCCAGCCACGGAGGGAATGGCCACCTCGTAATTGGCCAGGCTGCTGAGCAATGTAGCCACCCTTGGACGGTCGGGCATTTCCTCCTGCGCGGAGGCGAAAAGAGCACAGCAGGGACCAGTTAAGTGCCGCAGAGGGAGATGACGAGGCTATCGGCTCCACCAGGCACTGCTACAAGCTGTCGATTCTCCGCGGCCCACCCACCTGTATCTCGGCTACCCACCAAGGCAGCAACCGACGGAAGTGCACGCATCTCGGGGGCAAGACCGATGGCGACTACGTTTGTTTTGTTTTTTCGTTTTTTTTTTTTTTTGTTTGGTTTGTTTTTGACAATAAGATAGCCCGATGCTGGCTGGTTTGACTTGGAAACTGCCGCAGCCACCAACAACCTGCTAAGCTGCGAGATTCGCGGTAATTATAATAGGTGACGGAGAAATGCCTAAAGTTTCACGATCGACCGTGGTCTTCTGATCAGCAAGTTGAAAGCAAAAGCAGTTGCAGGAACTGAAGAACAGCCTTCCGGCAACAGCGGGACTAACAACCCTAACACGTATTGCCCCGAGGCCTCTTTGGCAAACATGCTCGAAACAAAAATTGGCACAAAATCGCTCTGGATAATCTCTATGAAAGTGATGCAGAGGAAAACTGGCGCGGGCCGAAAGGCACGCGGGTTGGAACGGCGGTATGCAGCGTCCGTTCAACAGCTTTGGAAGTGTGTTTGTTGGTACCATCGTGAACGACGTTTCTGCTCATGTTTTTCCCAGCAAGCTGACCCTTCTGACAGGCGTTGAACAAGCAATAGGACCAGACAGATGCATATTATCCTGTTTGTACAATTTGCCGGACTTTCTTGTCGCGTCTGCGCTCTCCAACGCCCTCGTTTATTTGAATTCTGGTGCCGAGTGACCTTACCTGGTACATAACTGCAAACAAAACAATGTTCATCGAAACAAGGTATTACGAAAACAGTCACAGCTCAACAGTCCTCCCAGCGTTACTAAAATATCCACAGCATCTCAGTAACACGAGTAGGATCGCGTTTCTCCTCCCATTCTAGTGGACAGTAACCAGATTAGTGCAAATTAGCTAGTTATTTCACATTATGTGCGAGCGAAGCTAAAGCTACAAGCACGAGCATGTTGCCCTGATCGACGCTTTCGCTGCACAAGCCGTGTGCTCGCCAGGGAAGCTGCAAGCCCGGAGCTCGCTTTTGTAGTACAGTAACCAGAAAAGCCAGTAACCTGGCTATGGGTGTTAAGAGGTAAGTACTCTCATGAGTGGATGGGGTACCCACATGGTAAAGGTAAAGGTTGCGCTCGTAGCTGGACATGCCGCCATCTTGAATGATGGGTCGTTCGTCAGACTGCGCAGAATCACCTGCGCAAAAAAAAAAAAAAAAAGAGCAAACGTTAACAACACGCATTCTACACAGCAAAAGCAGTCAAACTCGATAGCAAACTAACTTCGAATGAAACTATGAAAAAAGATTCTCGCTGCGCTAAGCAAAAAAAAAAAAAAAAAGAAAACGGCGACACGTGCGAATTTGTGCAAATTTTGGCAGTCTGTAACATACACACACACACACAAAGATATTGCTATGTCATTAGTCTCCGGGATTCCTAGCACCCCAGGCGACATGATACGTAGACGGATACACCCTACCAATCACAAACGCACCTGACAAGCCATCAAAAGACCCGGGTTCCGATTCCGGCAAAATCACAGAACGCGCTCTAGAGAAAAAAGCAGATCGGACAAAACGAAAAAGTGGAGAAGTAGAGAGAGGAACAAGGTCGATATAGAAACGAAAGGAAAAATGCAGGAAACGAAAAAAAAAACACGGAAAGAGCGTATGGATCAGACGAACCGGATTGAGATGCGACACGGAAGCAAATATGCGGACGAATACGGAAGGTGAGAGATTACGCGATCCAAACAGAAGAAAGACAACACAAACAAAAAAAAAAAAAACTTCCGAGAGAAAAGGCGGACGGGATGAAGGAGGCTCTCTCCGATCCGGCGGGCCGCGTGAAACACAGCAGCGCGGCCGCACTGCCAAAGCACGCTCGTTAGATCTCATTAGCATGGCGAAGGAGCGGCAGGAATCGCTGTGCGACCCTGTGCCGGGGGTCGGAGAGGGGAAGGCCGTCGGGAGAGAAGTCCCCAGAGCTACAGATGACCAAATCTAACTCCCTTTCTCACTGCTTTTGGCCCGGAGTCCTTTTGCCGCAGCCTAATTGAGAAAGGCGCCGTCGTTCCATTCAGACAGCCTCTCTCGATCCTTGGTCTAAGGGCTCTCCTCTCAGATAATGGGGAAAGCCAACTAGTCTGCGAAACAACGCCGCGACGGCCCCAATTTCGGGTGCTCGCCGGGCGCTTTCTGCACTCTTTATTAGCGAGCTCGGTCAAAGAACGGGTGCTGCATTTGTCTTAGTCTCTACGGGGCGACGCGCTGGAAAACAGGAAACGTCACGATTAGAAGGCGTCGCCACCTGTTTCAGCGGCGCTGGTAGTTTGACAGCCAGTGGCGTAGCCGGAGGGGGTGAGAGGGGCTAATGGGGCTGAAGCATCCCCTACACCCTGGAAATGCAGTCAACCCTACGATATACGGGGGGCATATGCCCGCCCCCCCCCCCCCCTTCCCCCTTTTTCTTCTTTTTTTTTTTTTTTTTTTTTTTAGAAGATTACGCGACAAGTGAAATATTTGAAGCCACGTAGTAAAAAATTGCATTCCAACGACCTCGCACACTGGAAACCTCCTCATCATCAAAAATGCCCCGACAGCGTTTCGTCCCTAAATAAGGTCGACATAACACTCGTTCGCAAAAGGAACCACGACCATCTGAGGTTTCTCCCTTTTCGTCCCTTTAAAACAGCCATTATGTGCAAAACCAAAAGAAAAAAAGAAGAAAAAAAAGCGTTATGCGGAGAAATAAAATATCGCGAAGGATTCAGAACCAAATCGAAACGTCACTCAAGAAAATATAGAAAGGAGTTCTTATCAGAAAATTAAAAATCACGCACGCGAAAAATTAATAATAATAAAGAGACTAATCTACAACGGACGAAACACTGAAACTATTCACCAACAGGTGGCTCGTCCCTCTCTTCTTATCTTTCGTTGTTTTTTTACTATTTGTATTTAGGGTCGTCGGCGCTTAATGCGTCAATTCTACGCCGCAAAGCCCCAAGTTCGTATATATATACACATACACCCGACGTGACGCGCATTTTCCGGATCATCTAAACCGACTTCCAACTTACCCTGCCTCGCACGTATCAACGGTTTCCTCCCCCGCCTCCAGAGGTATACCCGGAGCGGCGTGCCGATTTTGGGACAGGCCCAAATTTCCGAGCCAGTTTACAACATCAATCAGCGCGAATCAATCGACACTCCCTGCCGGACACGATGAGTTATTTCGGGGGGCAACACTGCGCCGGTTCTGGTAAAGTGCCCGGCGCACAACATATTGCGATCCACAAAATCGCACGAACGAACGAACGATCTCGAGAACACAACGGCCGATCGCGGCCAGTCCACCGCGGAGTGCAATCTCCGTCCGACATCGCGTCGGCTTTACCGGAGCGCTTGCTTCCAGCCCAAGGTTAGCACTGATCAATGGTCGGTGCCTAACGCACGCCCCGGTCGTTAGCGATAATAAGTTACGAGGGGAGACATCGATCTCGGCCCCATCAGCGTACTGTAGCCGTTTTTCATGCCGGCCAGACTCGGGTTCCATCTTGCGCGGGGGCGCGCGCGGCTCCGTTACCGGTAGACGCGTACGGGCCCAGCCGCCCACGCCGGAACTTGGAAGGAAGAAGAACTTTTGGGACTTTCCCCAACGATCGATGCCAACTCGTACCCAGCGTAGTTTTGCCGACTGTGCTCAAAGAGGGGCTTCCCCAGAAATGCTGCCAATAACTCACGTCACACCTCTATCCTGGGCGACTCGTTCGACGAATGAAAGGTAAACAAACCCCCTCATTTTTTGCATTTATTTCGTCCGACGAGTACATAACGAGGATTTCGGTAGGCGCACGGGGTATTGATAGAAGCATCCCTTCTCGTTAGGGAGAAATTGATAAGCCCGACCAGAATGTGGACTGAGAGAGATAAGCGGGCTCGCGTCGGGGAGGCGAGGATGAGGCCAGAGCTGCGGAACGGGGCGAAACAGGGCCGTCCGAAACGGATGCATGCGGAAGAACGCCAGACTAATGCCGCGTAATCGCATTATTTTTTGGGCGCACTAGCAAGGACCGATAAACTCAAAACGAGATTCGGCGAACGGACGTTTATCCTCCGAGCACACCTACAGCGCTTGCAGTTCCGACGCTGCTGTAGATCTTGGGAACTTTAACGGTCCTAACGAGACTGAGCAGCGTTCCTATTTTTCACGGTTTATCGAATTTAGAAGTTTGAGCAGAAACAGAAGGCAGTAGCACGTTTGCTTTCGAGGAGCTGGACTTTTCAGAGAGCAGTCATCCGGAGAGTTCGCTTTTCAGAAGTACGATTATTCGTTACGAATCCTCCTTACGCACTTAACGAACAGGCAACCAATTCAGATTCAATTCCTTCTGTCCATTAAGGGCACAAGGTAAGGTAAAATTGAAAAAAAATTCGATTTTAGTTTTCGCAATTTGAAAAGTTTAGTTCTTTCTGCACATTTTCCATTGTCCCTGTGTTTTTGGAAAGCTATATTTCGGGCTGAAAATCACTTCTTCCGAAAGCATGTAGCAGGTGACCACGCCTCCTTTTGGGATACACTCCCTGTTTATCGATGAATTTTCCAACAAAACAAAATCAACACGAGACCTAAAAGCTTGTCCAGTAACAGATAATCTAAAAAAATTATTTCGCAACTAACTGTTGCGTAGCTTTTTTTCAACCAAGACAATCACGAGACGCTGTGCACGTTTTTCCCAGGTGTGTACCGTGTGTACATTCAAGCGTTTGTGTTTTCGTAACGACAAAATGGCGCCATTGAAAGCTGTTCCTTCATTCAATGGTGGCAGCATTGCACAAGCCAATGTTTTGAAGTTTTGTGGATGGAACCCTGTGTGGAAAACCATCAAGTGGCTGAGGGAAGTTGACGTCACTCGAATATACTTTACGGACCAAGCGACATGGCAGGTCACAAAAGAGGCCCGGCAAGCAAGGCGATAAGCCTAAAGGCGAAGACATGGCTTTAGCAATGCCTTTCAAGCTGGCGGCTATTGAAAAAATGACTCTGAGGTTGTTGGTGCCAATAGAAATTCGTTAATCACCAGTTTTTTTACTTTAAACTCAATTATCTCAAAACAGTGTTTTTTAGTACATAGGTACCATTTTTTCCTTAACCTGACATTATAGAGGGTTGATTTTTTATTCCTACCACATACATGGGTGTTCAAAAATACTGAACTAAAATTAAAAATGTGCACCTAGCAGTTTTTGAGTTACGAAGTTTTTAATAGATGAAAACAACTAAAATTTCAGTACTAGAATAAAAAAATATAAAAAAAAAAACTTATTTTAGATTCGTTCAAATAATTCTAGTTCAGTGGATAAAACACAATATTTCGAACAAAATGTTATCTACATGACAGGAATACTCCTAATAGTCACCGAGAAAAATGTTCCTCAATATGGCCTCAAATGCATGGGGAGTATAGGACTTACCCTGTGCCCTTTAAAAAAAAAAAAAAAAAAAAAAAAAAAAAAAAAAAAAAAAAAAAAAAGGTTGATTTTAGCGTATTTTTATTCCGCGAGTCTGAATATCACGTTCGTTTTTCCCGAAGATACAACTAAATGCCAGAAAACACGAGAAGAAACCCGACCAGTCGTTACGTCCTAAGAGGATCTCGGCCGCCAAGCGCGTGCCGCTCGTGTGGGCAGCGCGTGCAATTGCAAGCTTGCCGGGTATATTCCCCGCACTGACACCAGTCGTGGCGACTCTTTCTTACCTTTTTTGAAGATAGCAAGAGTGCGCGTGCATAGCTCTGAAGATGCGCGAGAGCTGACATTCCGACAACTTCTTTTATGGCGTCACGCTCCGGGAAGGAGGGGCTTGAGCGGTACTTTGAAAGAGATTTTCTGCAACCTCCGTGAACCAAATAGACCGATCTCACCAGCTAGTTTGAGTACGCCACCGCTGCCGCCATGCATCGTGGGAGCTGTAGTCTTTCTGCACGCGCGACAACCCCGCTGGAGCTCCGTGCGAGCAGAGCACGAGGTGGCATGAGCTCTCGCGTGAACTGGAGTCATGCACCCTATGAACTACAGTTATGGCGGCGTCACGCATGCGTGCAACGCTCGGTGAGATCGGTCTATAGGAGGTATTCACTCGCGGCCATGGCTGTGTGCGCGACTGCTGCGTGCTGATGGCGAGCTTCCACAG